CGTCAGTGTGTTTTTCTGAAAGAAACAGAATTCCTGTTTTCGACATTAATATTAGTTTCTTATTGATTCTTACCTTTTCACTTCCGCCTCAGAACAACTGGAATGACTTCGACTGTGCAATGAGCAACGTACACACAGGAGAGTGGATTCATGGGAGGTGTGACAATGCCAGCATCAAGAGTAACTTCGTGTGTGAATATAAACAGAAAGGACGCACGCTAACAGGTAGGTCTCAAGGCGACGTGGTATTTAATGAAAGCGTGGGTGCGTGCATGCGTACGTGCGTGTGTGCGTGCGTGTGTGCGTGCGTGTGTATGTAATTGTATTTTTTGTTTACTAAATGTATATATGTAGGTTTTGTACGATCGGGAAATATAAAGCCTTGATGATGACATCAACACAACGAACATGTGCCTTTTGTACATAGAACGCTTGTGGGAAATGTTTTACTCGTAAAGTGCTAGATTTATCTTACTCTTCAGCTCTAACTAATATACCTGTATACAATTTCAACCCGTGGGGATTCAGGGTAAGAATACAGGGCCCCGTTCCACAAAGCGACCTTAGCGCTAAGACGATCGTAACTCCCATTCTTTAAGATCGCTTTGTGGAACGGGACCCAGGTCCCAGCAACCTATGGTTCTCGTAAGAGGCGACAGATGGATCATCAGGCTCGGTGACCTGGGTGATTGCATGTCATCGTATCTGAATTGAATGGGTAGATACTCATGATGACAATCACTGGATTGTCTGAGTACCAGACTCGATTATTGACAGACCGCCTTCATATTGCTGGATTATTGCTGTGTGCGGCGTTAACTTCAAACAATAAGTACAGTTTTAATCACAGGTCAATTTCAACCAATTACATTTGTCATTAACGTACACCCGAGTGCCATGTGGACAATATCAAACCTAGTGTATAAAGATGTGTCTCCGATTTAACGTTGATAAGTTCACTGTACGTTTGACGTGCTGTGGTGCTTTCTGAATGTATGTCTTCTTTGGAAAATAAACAGGAATATTTAGACAAACAGTGAATGTAAATAATCATCAGTATTGAATATGTCTGTAGGCAATATCTGGAGAAGACTAGAGGCAACTAAAGAAAAACCAGCATCCACAGCCGTCAGTGTCACCACGAATGTTGTTGCTAATAGAAACATCATGACCTTCAACCATGACACCAAGGTTAATGCTGACGGTCTTGACCTCGGTTGTCTGAATGACCATGAACTTTGTCCCCAAGGATTCACGCTCATGTTCTGGATCTTCATCGACTCTCAAGTCACATCAGACATGGAAATACTGTCAACAGGGAACTGTGTATCGCAGTATGCTGTGAGTGTAGGTGTTTGTGTCTACTATGCAGCGGCATCCAATGAAATTGTCATCAACGATGCTACAAATAAGACCTTCAACAAGGTTGCTAAGTTGACAGTAGCTAAGGGCACCTGGCACCATGTGGCTCTCGTGTTTGATGGAGGGGCTACGATGTATGTCCAATTGGATGGTGGAAGTACTCAAACGTTTCATGACGACACATTGCTGACGACGTTTCTCACAAGAACCATGATCTATGAAAATACGCTCTTTGGCAACTGGCATGATGTCACTGCACCTAACAGCAGCTTCAAGTTAAACGACGTCCGCTTTAAGCCACAGAAGATGATGTGGAATGATAACAACAATTTATATGGTAAGTTTCCTTTGTATTTAAATAAAGACATCTTGCTGTATCGTGCATCATTTCGTTAAGTACTCCTTCCTTCGTTATAAATAAGGGCGGTCGGGTAGCCTGGTGGTTAAAGCGTTCGTTCGTCAAGGCCGAAGACCCGGGTTCGATTCCCTACATGGGTACAATGTGTGAAGCCCATTTCTGGTGTCCCCCGTCGTGATATTGCTGGAATATTGCTAAAAGCGGCGTTAATCCATACTCACTCACTCGTTATAAATAATGATGGGAATATACTCGCGCTGATTCATCACAAATACTTAGTATTTCTACATATTAAAAGCCAAAAGTATCATGAAGAAATGATTGATCGTACGTAAGTTTTTTCTTGAAGTGATACTGACTTGACCAGTAAAGGGGTCTTTGTAGAATTCCACTTGAAATTATGGTGACGATTTGGTATTGACAAATAAACAACTTTCATGCCATTTAAGACGAATTGTTGTTTTCCGATTTATATCTATTTTGCATTTCATCGGTACGATTTTGCAGCAAACGGACTATAGAATTGGTAAGATGCTGCGCAGTTTTTGCCATAGTCAAGCAATATCATATCGGGACATCACAGATGTATCTATGTTGAAGAAAGAGTTTCGCATGACGTGCAAACGCGCCAGCCACTCGGTTGTTTCTGTCCTATTACTGTTTACACGTAGGAACACATGGTTAAACCGATAATAAGTAATGACAGAGTTAAATGGTAACCTGATGGCATTGACTGATCGTCATTCTACGGACTAATGACCAGATGACACCTACCCGAACACCGAGTAAGTAATACTTACATATACAAACGCCTATAACGAACGTTAGATGTAACAATCATCGACTTTTGTTGATCTTGACCAATATCTTTGCAGGTGATCACAAGCCAGAGACAGCGGCAGGTTCCGTTCACTGGCTGGAGGACGACCTAAGTACTGTCATGTCAAGGAAGACTCTTCCAGATCCTGGTGTTGATGGTAGGGGGTTGAGATTCAACCAACAGGGCTCAGTCGCTTTCCTGTCTGTCAATACCACATGCGCAGACAAATTGCATAGTTGTTCAGGGGCATTTACATACGCCTTTTGGGTTAATGTAGGCATATCTTCTCCCAAACCAATGACTATTCTAACCGTTGGAGACGTTCCTGGTGGGGAACAAGGTCTGAAGGTCACAATGGAAAATGAAACTTTGCACGTCAGTTTGGTTCTAAGTGCTGGAACGTATTCAACAAGCGTCAGTTCGATCAGCTCTGGAACCTGGCACCACATCACGCTGACGTTTGACACGTCACTGGGCCTAACAGTGTATCAAGACGGAGTGGTAGCTGTAACGGCGACGAGTTCTGGCAGTGGTGTTGCTGGTGTAGCAGCTCAGTCTTCATTAGCCATAGGACAAGGTGAGCTATGAAAAAGTGCGATTGGGTTTGAGTGTAGTACCTGTTAAGTTGCATTAAACAATCTAAGGTTTGGATGATTGTTAAAATTTCATCAAATATACAACATCGAAACTTTGTTCATGTTCATTAAGGAGCGGTCGGGTAACCTAGCTGTTAAAGCTTTCGCTTGTCACGCCAAAGACCCGGGTTCGATTCCCGACATGGGTACAATGTGTGAAGCCCATTTCTGGTGTCCCCCGCCGTGATATTGCTGGAATATTGCTAAAAGCGGCGTAAGACCATACTCACTCTCTAACTCATGTTCATTATTTGTGTTTCATTCAAGTGAGTTATTGTATTTTCTTGATTCCAGCTGTCTGTCCCCTGGGTTGGCTTCATGCTGGGTCATCCTGCTACTATCTGAAAACAACTAGTGCCCCCTTCTGGACCAATGTTAGACTGTCGAAGGATGTCGGGGCTCATCATGTGCACATAAATTCAGATGAAGAGTACCAGTTTGTGCAGGATTTGATGATTGAAAACAGGTAATGTGTCCTAGTTATATACCATGTCAAGGTTTCAGTGTCATGTCCATTGGACTAAAGTAATTGTTATGTTTTCCTTATGAAAAACATAAATATTCCAAAATTCAAAATGAAATTCATCATTTTGAAACCACAGATTGGAGACCAATTTACAAGAGACCTTGGCTATTTTGACACTGCTTTGGGACCTAGAATGTAAAAAGTAACATTTTCCTTTGTACAGCATTCCACAGATAATGCTGGGTCACTACGAGGAAGCGCCTGACACCCAGCGTTTTGTACGCGTGCCCGGTGGGAACGAGACCTATATGACAGACAATCTGGGCGAAGGTGGATACCGGAAACTTGTGTGTAGCGGATCAACCTGCACGGTGAAGAACTGGGTCGGAACACAACTTCCCTCACTGTATGAGATGGAGCTGACTCAAACAGGTACATCTTCACTCTTCATTATAATCATCATCAACGTCAAAATAATGATGAGGTGTTGGGGTAGCCTAGCGATTAAAGCGTCCGCTCGTCACTCCGAAAGCCCGGGTTCGATTCCCCACATAATAGTTGTTCGGTAGGAATAAAACGATTGAGTAATGTGAAGTATGTTACGGGTTTTTATGTTTTTTTCACCTCCGGGATATACATTTTATTTTATTTTATTTGTTTGTTGATTAACGCCGCACTCAGCAATATTCCAGATATATGACGGCGGTCTGTAAATAATAGTGTGGACCAGATAATCCAGTGATTGATATAACGAACATCGATCCACGCAATTGGGATACGATGACATGGATCAACCAAGTCAGCGAACCTGACCACCCGATCCCGTTACCAATTTACTATGTATATTCAAATATAATGTATTACATCCTGTCTGACCGGATTGATTGATTGAGTATTGTTTTACGCCGCTTTTAGCAATATTCCAGCAATATCACGGCGGGGGACACCAGAAATGGGCTTCACACATTGTATCCATGTGGGGATTCGAACCCGGGTCTTCGGCATGACGAGCGAACGCTTTAAACAATAGGCTACCCTATTGCCCTATCTGACCTGAAGGTGTCGTGAATGCAAAAGTGAATGTTAACCTTCAAAACTTAATATTTATCTACACGAGGAGGCAAGATGACACACTATATAAGGAGCATTAGTCGCAGGCGTAAACATTCGTATTGAATGTGATCATAATTTACATGACTATGATTGCAATGGAGGGTACTGAAGGACCTTGAAGTGGATTCATAGGATCTGACTCCATGAAGGCGTTGTTCATCTCAGAATATTCTGTCTGCAGAGTTTCCTGTAGTCAACGCGTGTCCAGTGAGCTGGCACTACTTCCAAGGTTCATGCTACAAACACATGGGACCCAGCACGGTTAGCGCGGTGACTGCCCAGGAGAAATGTGCGGAGGTTTGGGCCTACCCTGTGGAGGTCGACTCACAAGAGGAACTGAGATTTGTGGCCAATCTTACACACAGGTAGACTGATGAAAAATACTTATAGATTGCTGTGATATTTTCGCTTTGATTGGGATTTTTTTTTCTGGATAGTTATCAGCTAAACACTAATAAAACTCTCCAGACAATGTCGACAGCCTTAGAACTCGCCGGACAATATCGATGTGCTTTGAACTATCCTGACGATATCGACAGGCTTAGAGTGAGTGAGTTAAAAGTAATTTCGCATCAGCATCATTTCAGCCATATAGCGACGTGAACTTACTCTCAGGCCAATAGTGATGGGCTTAGAACTCTTGAACTCTCCAGACAATATGCTTACAACTCTCAGGACAATATCGTCATGCTTACAACTCTCAGAACAATATCGACTCTACCAACAGGCATGCATCGTCGCTCAGGCCATGATTTGCCTCGAGTATTTACAGGCCGACGCGATATAGCCGGAATATAACTGACTACTGCGTTAACAAGATTAGCTTACTTATTTCAATACCTGTGTACAATGTTTCACAACAGATGTAACGTAGGGATCAATTATTGTGGTATTTATACATGGTAGTTAAATGTATTTTTTAGAAATTTTGGATTTTTTCAAATGGATTGGCAAACATCGCTAACAAAACCCATTGTGTTTCCAGCTCCTCCATCACAAAGTCCACAATCGTAGGTGTGTCCTATGAGAACATGACTGACGGGAGGGGGATGTTTGTAAATCGGAACTGGAAGACCCCGGGCTGGGACAGTTGGAACTATCAGCCACTGACCAGTGACCAGTGTGTCCAGCTGAAGTGTTCCAGCGGCGGGTGTTACTATAACGACATCTCCTGCACTACAGATGCAACATACTACATCTGTGAAAGACATGCAGGTAACATTAAGTGTAGTGTGTGTGTGTGCGTGCGTGCGTGCGTGCGTGTGTGTGTGTTTCTACACATTATATTTGTGCATGTATCAAAAGGGGTCGCGGTGGAAAGAAATGCAGGTAATATTGTGTGTGTGTGTGTGTGTGTGTGTGTGTGTGTGTGTGTGTGTGTGTGTGTGTGTGTGTGTGTGTGTGTGTGTGTGTCAGACGTATGGGTGTGTGTGTGTGTGCACATATGTTGTGTGTGTGTGTGACGTATGGGTTTGTGTGTGTGTGCATGTGTGTGCATGTGTGTGTGTGTGTGTGTGTGTGTGTGTGTGTGTGTGTGTGTGTGTGTGTGTGTGTGTGTGTGTGTGTGTGTGTGTGTGTGTGTGTGTGTACATATGGGTTTGTGTGTGTGTGTGTTTTGTGTATATGCGTTTTATGTTTCTACACATTATATTTTTGCATCTGTCAAAAAGGGTCACTGTGGGGTAGCCTAATGTTTCGCTCGGAAGAAGCACATTGCCGGGTCCGTGATGGAAGAAACCTGTCCTACTCACCACCCACTCTCGTATTCATTCATCGTAGATTTATCGTATTTGTTTATAATATTTGCACACTCAGCAAATCCTGGATCAGTATGAGATCGACCTTTATCAATGACTTTTCCCAACAGGAACACGGTGTGGCCCGGGTTGGGTTCAGTCCGAGGGAGCCTGCTACTACAAGCATGTCGAGTCCGGTGGCCCCGTCGCCACTGACCACTGTCAACAGGCTGGCCATACTGCAGTGGTCATCAAGAATGTCACTCACATGGAGAGGCTCATACACGACCTTGACATTGGTTAGTAAAGTGTTGCATCTGTTCTTTAGAAGCATGTCAAGACAACTTTAGCCATTGGGCTGTTTCTGTTATCAGTCAAACTTGGGCCACAAAAAGGTCCATTAGCGCCCTTTTGCAATATTGTTTGTTTGTTTGTTGTTTAACCCGCACTCAGAAATATTCCAGCTGACGGTTGTCTGTAAAAAATCAAGTCTGCACCAGACAATCCAGTGATTGACATCATGAGCATCGATCCACGCAAGTGGGCTATGATGACATGCATCAACCATGTCAGCGAGCCTGACCAACCGATCCAATAAATCGCCTCTTACGACCAGCATGGTCGCCTTTTATGGCAAGCATGGGTTGCTGAAGACCAATTCTACCCCGGGTCTTCACGGATCCCCTTATGTAATAATGCCAAATTGTATTTATTACTTCACTTATGTTTAAGACCTGCATTGTGTCAGGCTTTCCTCCCACACTGACACGGAATGACATAACTGACACACTGTCCAAAGTATTGGAACTCACTGACTATATCCAGTACAGTGTGTACTTAAAGTGTCATGTGACTTCCATACAAACCTGGAGACTCCGAACAGACTTCACGATACAAAGCAAAACACCTTGAAACATTCATTGTTTGATCGCCTTGGAATGAAATAACGCGATGTAATATCTCAGTGGACGGATAACTTTATATCTGTTCACCAGGGAAGCCATAATGGCATGATCAAAACTGTTCGTTTGAAGCAAAGAAAACCCACTCTATTGCCAAAACAAATTGAACAGGTTATTAAGCTTGATGCTATCTCTTGCAGGAGACCGGAAGTGTCTGACTGGTGCTACATTATCTAACGGCAGATACACCTGGGGCACGGGTGGGGATAGAGCATTCTTCGATAAAGACATTGTTACCAAGTCTGCAGCATGTATTGTGGTGTCTGGCCACACTGCCACCCATGGTGTGAGTCCACTGTGTGATACGGACTGTATCATATGCCAACAGGGTAAGTACCTCTTTAAATGGCAAGTTAATTATGATGATCAGCATAGCAAGTTAATATACGGTGTTCATACACGGAACAGGATAAGTGACACAATTATGAACACATGGACACACATACTATTTGAATAGTTTTTGTTTCCGTAAGAGAAAAGGTATTAGCATTAATGTGATAGGTATAGGGCTCTGTTCCTAAGATACATATTCATCAATCCTTTTTACAGTTTGATTTTGCATATAATGCTTGAAGTAGAGTTATTATATACCCCCGTCAACGAGACGATGGAAATATATTGCCGGACAAAAAAAAATATACATTTGAACATTGGATTTGACCGAAACATTACAAACGTTATAATGTTGATAGCTTGAAAACAGTCTCGAAACACTGCAAAACTTTAGGCCACAAAAACAACTATGATACCTATATTAAATATCTCACCATCGAATAACCATTTCTTTTTTGTTTTATTTTTCGCTACCTTAAAATGTACGTGTATGCTTTCTTTTGCCCTGCAGTTTAAGTCATCTGTGTTTAGTAACTAGTATCGGGTGTATCCATGTTATTGCTTTTCTCAATGAAAATATCTTACAAATATAACTTCATTTCAGACCTCCAGGCAGACTTTTCTGTTGATAATGTTCATTTCTATGAACGAGTTCTATCATCAGATGAAATCAGGAATCTCTCACGTGAAGGTATGTGGCATTAAACTAAGCTGTAGTATGAATTACTGGCTGTAATATCAGAGAAGACCACAGGGCTGATGGATATCACATCCTTTAATGTTGACGGGAATATAATAGTGTGGTTTAAGCCGACGAGATGGATTATTTTCACGAGGAATTGTCTTTGGCCCTAAAGAATATTTGTCATCTGATGAAGAATACCTTTGTGATTTATGATGCACCCGACCTGGGTGCCGTTGTACAAAGCGATCTTAGCGCTAAAATGATCAAAACTCCCGCACCTGAACATAGACTTACGACAGTCGCAGCGTAAGGTTGTTTTGTACAACGGTACCCAGATGGGGACACCTGGACACACTTGAAATAGTTCTACACATCATAGACACATCGCAATATCACATAAATCATAAGAAGATATACCCCTGGGTAAAATTGAGAATTGACTTAGTAGAGGATGTCATACTTTGTTGCATCAGTTGCCAAAGAAGCGGGCTTGTTATAGTTTTTTAATCTTTCTTTCCAGAGGGTCTTGTAGAACACCAGCTGAGTTGTCCCATGAACACAGATGACATTATCTCATCAACATCCATTAGTTGTAATGTCACAAATGCAAGTACCATCAATGCAATCACCATGGTAACCAATGAGGCGAAAATAGTACCGGACACACTCGGAAGACAGACTGTATCATTAGGAGATGGAGCAACGTGGACAACCCCGGGCGCATTCGGTATCGCTGGATCCAAACTTGGGATGACGTGTGCATTCTGGGTTTATGTGTCGAATGATACTGAGTCGGTTCTGTTTGATTCGAACACAAGCAAACACAATGGACTGACAATCACATATGCAAAAAGGTATGATGCTAGTTGTACGGTGACTTCTACATTATTAAAACTATTTCAAGAGACAAGGGGTTGACTTTGAGCTTTAAACCTTTTTTTATTGCTTATGCCTTTGTGTCACATTTCATTCAAGTAAATCTTGAAAATTTAGATTTGAACACCAAGGCAGGTTTGTTCGACAATCTGTCGTACAAACGAAAGTATTATTGTAAATTTTACAGATGCATTTATGGTTTGTCATATTAATGTTTTGTGATAAATATATGGAATGTGTCTTGACAGGATGCTATCTGTGCATGCAACGGAGCCTAACTTTGAATGGTCCACCCGGACATGGTTCCCCGTCCACGACTGGACGCATGTGACTGTGACCTGGCATGAGACATTGGGGCTGTACCTGTATGTCAATGCCGAGGTGATGTCCACCAACACAACAGGCATGCCCCTTCTAGGATATCTCTCTGATGTCAACATCCCCAGTCAGCTGCGCCTTGCCTACCACATGAATGGTACTACAGCATTGATGAAGGATCTCGTTGCATCCAAGTCGATGTGGTCTCAAGAACAGATTGAAAAGGCATATGGTAAGTTCGAATACGTAGAGACAACCTTCCACATACAAATGAGTCTTGCATGATCTTACTTTTGGCAGTGGGGGGAGGTAAGTAGTCAAATCATTGGCTCAATTGGCTGTTCACAGGGGAACAGTAGGTAAGGCAATCTTTGTGTTACCTGTCGTGATAATATCGGAATAATGCTGAAATCGGCGTAAAACTGTACTCACTCACTCGGATGGCAATTTCCCTTATTTCATTTTAACCTTACAAGAATAATAATCATGCATGGTGAAATGGACTTATTGTCCTTTTAATATGACTATAAAGGTTCTGTTTGTATTTTTAGATATAAGAATATTTACACCACATTTAAAAATTCATAAGTTATTTATATCAAGTGTATGTGTTTGTGTGTAATCACCAAATATATTGCGTTCCATCAACAATTGTATGGTCTGTGCAGATGCTGTCAACTTAAGATATAGTGTAACATTTGACGAGGAATACAGAGCAAAATGGGATAACCTGCCGATCATACGGAATAAAACCGTGACGTCATTTGTGTGGAGAAACTCCCTCTTCTACAACGCTATGCACGTCAACAATTCCAATGGTGGCGAGGCCGCCCCAGCCGCCGTCTCTACAGGCCAGATGAGGAACTGCTTCACCAGGATAGGTAGGTCACGAGGACGAGGGAGTACAGTTGTCACGTTGTACACATCTACTGTGTTCATGACCAGTAAGATCATCCATCTCTGCTTCTGGGGGGATCTATACGGATGCCTGTATGCCCACTTGGACCCGTCTTTAAACGGTTACTGATTTATTGTAATGATAAAACATGTTGACAATCTGTATTGAAGACATGTTCAGATTTCACAGCGTCACCTCGTAGCTTCAAACATTGCCGATTTTTTAAATAGTTATATTTCCTCCTCAAAATTCTGTGTATGTTTCAGAGTCCTGCAAGGGGCCAATGACATTATCCTTCTGGCTGCGACCCATCGCCTTCAAAAGCCCGCAAACCTACATCACTGCGTACACTCCTTCAACCATGAAGGGGGACAGAACCGTTTCATTGAAGGTGTCGTACGACAATAACAAAGATTTCTTCCACTTCCGAATCTGCCACAGCAAACTCGAGTACGATTTCGCCTTCACTATGGACTTCCTACGGTGGTCCCACCTCCTGATTAGCTTTGGCGAGGATTGTCAACTGTCGGTGAACGGTGAGAAGATAGACAACCTGACGACTTCGCACGTACCGACACACAAGGACCCCATCCAGCCCTTCTCGTACCTGGAAATAGGAACCCACGGGGTGTTTGACATAGATGACATACAGTTCTATGCTGCCGTGAAGCAGCACTGGGAGCTCTATAGTAAGGACCATTGACCTAAATGATGCTCATCATGGAAGTGTTTGTAGCAACCAAATGCATATTCATAATAATAATAATAATATGAATAATATGAATAATATTAAGAATAATATGAATAATGATATTAATAATGACATGAATGATATTATAAGTATATAAATAATATGTGAATATCTCTCTCATTCAGAAAAAAAACTATTTTGACGTTTCTGTGTTAATTATTGCGCTATTAATGAGACAAAATGGATATGTATGGTTTGTATGTAATCAAATGACAGTTAAACAATGATGCGAAAACGGGAGCGAAAGTCACTTTTTATATTATTTTTATTACAGCAATGAGGTCCTGCAAGGAATATCACTTAGCTGGATTCCGAGGTCGTCAACTGTTAAGAGTTGACAACGGCGATATCAATAACATCATCTGTGTCTTAAACGCCAGCGGTGAGAACAGTAGTTTTTACTAATGATGTATCTGGGCATACTAGTTTATAAACTTGTCATATTAAATGGAACCTAGTGAACATGTTTATCCTTTAAGTACTTGTTTATTGAAATAAAATGTCCATTGAATGATGTATGATTTGTTAGCAGTAAAGACTTCTTATAACATGATTTGTTTGTACATGACAGGTTACGATAGCCTTGTTGTTACCATGGAGGAGGGGGATATGCAGAACGCGACAGATCCCGGGATATCCTTTGACTTTGATTCATTTGGAACACATGTATACGAAGGCGGTCTTAACGGTTTGGCATTAATCTTAAACAAAACCGGATTCAGCCTTCGAGGAATCAACTCGACCTGCTTCAAAGACATCTCATACTGCACGTTTGGTGTCTCTGTCACTCTCTGGACATCCATAGAAAGCATTCCAACAACATCCAGTAAACTGCAGCTGGTACAGATAGGGGGGGACCCTGAGGTAAACATCACTGGGTTGAGCCTCAAGTGTGAGACTGTCCCAACAGATTCTGATCGAGTGTCCTGTGTGGCTGCAGCAGCAGAAGGTTCTACTGTGTGGACGTTACAGTTCCCTGTTCAAATCAAGCGCTGGATACACGTGTCCATCAGCTGGAACCCACAGCGGGGGCTGAACGTGTATCTTAATGGGCTGGACATCCAGAGATTAGGGGTCAATGCGACTGTCATGTACAATCAGACCCTAGGAACAATTGCTGTTCCTGAGGATCTGAAGATAGGAGCCACAGCCAGTGATAGTGTTGGAGTTTGGAGGCTGGATGACATCTGGTTGGTGGAGCGAGATATCACTGTCAGTGAGACACGGGAACATTATGGTAAGCTTCATTTAAGCTTCGATTATTTCAAGTTCCCATAAATATGTCTTTTTTCCCTCTTTATAAAGAGTAATAATGATGATCTTTATACTAATAGCTAAAGGTAGGTAGTCAGATGATTCATTGATGTTATGATTATATATGAAAAATATGATATTAGAAATGAATATTCTGATTGCATTCAACCTGTGCCATTTACATTTTGATGTTCATTTAATGAATATTAATTGAACTGCTTCTATTTAACAGGTCATGTGTCGGTGTGTGGTGAAGGTTGGATATACAATAATGTAACTAGCCTGTGTTACAACATGACAGCCAGCGCCACCTACTGGTCACAGTCAGAAGCAGAGATCCAATGCAACAGTGATGGAGGGACTCTTGCTGTGGAACAAGATGCTGCTATGCATGAATGGCTCGTTACCAATGTTCTTGGTCCAAGTAAGTCTAGAACTATTTGTGTCGTTTAAATTTACGAGTCTGACATTAATGAAAATGGCAATATGATGTTCAAATTTCATATGTATTCTTCAGGTGGTATCGAGATGGGTGTCCACATTGGACTGTCACAGACTGGCAACGATGGGTCGTACCGATGGTCCGATGGAACCAGAGCTACTCATCTCCCAGACAACATGGATAAACCTGCTGCTGCTGCTGCCTTCTGTGTGATGCTGGAGCAGGTCACCTGGAGACATGTTGCTGTGGACTGCGAACATCACGTGGCAGCTCTGTGTCAAAGATCTCCTTACAGTAAGGGTTCTTATGGGCCTTGCCAGTCTGTTTGATAACGTGACTAATCATCTGAAAAACCCATTTCTTATCAGGTTGAGCATTTGAGTAACCGCATTATTGTTTAAGGTATAATAGTAGCATTATTTGAGTACAATCTGCTTAATTTATACAAGAATTCTCTGTATCCGATGTCATTCTGTATATGCGGTCGGTTAACTTCGTCTATGAAAAGTCCAGTTTCCACCCTTGGAGAATTAGGCTGGAATTTTAAAGTTATAATTTGGGTGGAGGAACGAGTATAGTCCATTCAAAATCGCTTAGCAAACTTGACATCCAGTTCGAAAATTGCCGTGCCGATTTCGGTCGATTGTAGGATTTGTGAAGCATGTGTACCGTCAACTCGGCGTTGGCATACATTTTCCAAATCATTTCATGTCTTTAATCAAGGTACTCAAGTAATTTAATGCCCTTCACCAGGTAAGGCCCGTTTTATTGCCATACAGTTCTGATTATCGCCATTTTGTTCGACACCAATGCAAGTAATATGACAAGTAGAATCTGATTGGTCAATAGGAGGGACAGAGGGGACGTAACTTGTAATAACCACTGGAGCCACGATGTTTTAGAATCAGTTACTTATGTATTACACAGAGTCTTTGTAGTAAACAAAAAGGTTTGGTTTTGGTACTAACTTAACCTCTTTGTGTAGTTAGGTACATCTTCCACACGCGATGTCAGTGGTTAAAGCGTTCGCTTGTCACACCGAAGACCCGGGTTCGATTCCCGACATGGGTACAATGCGGAAAGCCAATTTCTGGTGTGCCCCGCCGTGATATTGCTGGAATATGGCTAAATGCGGCGTAAAACCATACTCATTCACTCACTCAACACGCGGTAATAAGTAACACAGACATTGACTGACTATCCTTCAGTATTATCTACTGCTCATCCTACTGCAATTGCTTTGTAAATTTTAAAAATGTCCACCTCCTTTATGCCAATTGGAATCATTGGTTACAGGTATTGACATAAAAAAATTGTTCGCGCAGACTAAAGGAGAAAACGATGCTGAAGACTGCTATATCAATACACCTTCGGTTGATTTCAGGGCTGCCCAACAAAGAGGCATACCTTGGTAAGGACATGCCGAGTTTCAACTATTCCACCTTGTCAACTGCATCAGGTACAGACAATGTAGAAGGCATTATTGGCACTACCGTCAACTTCTCATTGACCTATGCTGCAGCTAGTTACGCCGATGAATGCCTGAACAACTTCAGGTTCTGCCACAACGGTTGGTCCCTGTCAGCCTGGTTCAACCTTCAACCAATCACCAACTCCACGGGTCGACAAGTTGTGTTATCCACCAGGCAGCAAGGCAGCGATCACGGAATTATCGTCTATGGGCAGAATATTGATGAATATTACTTTATGAATGTTGTGGTCAGTGATTGTGAAACTGTCACAAGTACAAGATATGAAATGGGCACCTACTCATGGATACATATGGACATATCCATCGCCAACGCCTCTAATATATACGTTTCCTTCAACGGTCAGAACAATACCTATATAGAAAACACAAGACTTAATGGTTCGTGTACGCCTCCAGATATAGGAACCATTGTGCCATTATCCATTGGTGCCACTCCTACGGGTGGAGAACAGATTATTGGTGGGATGGATGAGATTGAGGTGTTTGAACACATACTTCTAGAACCAGAGAAACTTCTTAAAGAGGGTAAGTCCTTTCGGAGAATATTGTTTATGTCATCATCATGAAAATTACATTCCAATTAGTGTTTTTTCAGCCAGATTGTGACTCTTGTTTTTAAAAGAAATGTCATTTTCAGTACAATCTTATTCCTGTGCATTTTTGTCCATGTGCATCGATAATCATGTAATGCTATTTTCAGATATATTCCTATGTAGACAAATGAACGATTGTTTGTATTTGTAGTGTCGGGGTATTCACAGTCAACTCAGATGGAACTCAATTTTGAGTACAATAACGTACTGAACCTGCAGCCAACCACAGAGAGACTGCCTGGAAAGTTTGGGTACGCCATATACATCGATTCGGGAGATTCAGTCAGTCATAAAGGACAATTCACTTTCGACTGTTTTGGTTCATTTGACCTGTGTGATGACGGATTTACCATTGTGGTGTGGATAAAACCTCAGATGAATGAATCAGAAACGGACTTTGGCATCGCATCCGCGATCAATGAGCATCGGGGATTTATGATAACATACCACACCTCCCACCCACAATACGTACACTACCCTCCATCCTATTGGCTGACGGTGAGAGATGGGAAAACAGAGCATAACATCCCTTTCCACATGGGCGACTGGTTCTGGTCGCATCTACTGCTGACTTGGCGTGATGCTTCGCCGCATCTATTTGTGAATGGATTCCTAGTGACGAGTGATGAAACTCGTGTTCTCTCCGATGATAGTTACCCTGTCACCCGGTTTCACTTAGGCAAAGCTGATGATAGAGTGACCTCCCTTGATGGATTCACTGGTGGCATCGATGAGTTCCTCTTTTGGCAGCAGTCTCTGACAGACGTCGAAGCTGTAAGATTATATCGTAAGTTGATGAATGTTGTGATTCATGATTAAGTGTGTGAGTTTTGTTTAAAGCAGTGCTTAGTGACATTCCAACAATGCGGCGTGTCAAAGGAACGCTTTAACCACTTTGCTACCACACTGCCATCATTTCTCAGAAGCAACCAAACGGAATGTAGATCACATAGAAGGGCTGGGCTAAGTTTTGACGTCAACATCCATTTCAGAAATATCTAGTGTACCCATAAATAATTTTAACGTTTTCATATATGTCAGTAGTCTAGTGGATAGACCGTCGGTCCAGACAGCGGAAGGCTAATGAAGGCTTCAATACCCGGCCGCGTGATACCAAAATATTTTAAAAGATGGTACCTCCTGTTACCCTGCCTGGCGCTCGGCATTAAGGGAATAAAGCACGGAGTGGTCGGCTCGGAGTCAGTATACCGAGTTGGGTATTCATGCGGCATGGTATTTTAAAGGACTCGTACTATGAAACCGTCATTAATGAGTACTAGTACAAGCAGCAACACATACACGTACATAGAAGTCGCTATATATATGTTGTAGTTTTGAACGGTCTATCAAAACCCATTTTACCTCTCCTTACCGCATATATTTCATGTGACAGTAATAACTGAATTTGTATGTGAAGTGTGAAATATTTTTAATTGACACTTGGATTCTATTCTTAGGTGAAGCAAGTAATGCCTTGATGTGATATATAGATTTGGTTAACACTGCTTGTAGTGTCTGATTTCTCTTACAGTACAATCGGTTTTCGTTGAAAATCCATTCCACTGGAATACAACCTCTTCCGGTTTTCCTGGAAACAGTTTGACCCTGACGGACAATTCACAGTACCTCAACTTGACCTCAGAGGTCATAAGCGGATCCTGTCATCTTCAAGGCGGTTCGTGTCTTCACGGTTTGACGCTAAGCGTAATGGTCCGTTTCCTGGACCAAAATGACCACGATCAGATGATCCTCACAACGGGTGGAGATACTGATGACGGGACTGGTGTATTTTTACAATTTGTCCCTAACAACCAGTCAATGCAATTCAGAAGGTACTTCAAACTTGGAGCAAAGACGTTAGACAAGGAGTATTCTGTGCTGTTCAATATGCAATATAGACAATGGAGCCATGTCGTGGCAGAGTTCCACCCAAACGTGTCTCTGAAGGTGTTTGTAGACAAGCAGCTTGCAGGGGAAGACAATGGAAAGGCACGGACGACTCTTGCTTCAGGCGTCGATAGACGTTTACTGATTGGCAGATCAAGTGTTGAAGTGACAGAGCTGCCTAATTTTGAAATTGGACAGATCGATATGTGGGACAAGGCAGTGGATGGTTCCCAAAGTGGACAAGGTAAGAATCCAACATCGTGTTTGACATCAATATAAAAAAAAAAATATATTACTTGGCGATAACTTTGTGTGATTGGCTTTTTTAACCGGAAAGTGTCGCCATGGTTGTGAAACATGGGGACATGTGTTTAAAACAGACTAAACCGGGGTTCAGTTGGTTACAGTGGGTGTTTTGACTGTTTGTGAGACGTTTTCCGGGAAGTGATTTCATTTTGACTATTATATTACTACATCGTTGATTTTCACTGTCCAAACAGTTGAGGCCTGGATGCATTTTGTCCATTATGATATTGACCGCACCGGGTCGACAGTATCTGAAGGAATATCCCTGACTGACTGCTACAGCCTGTGTAGTGAGGACAACATCACAGAGTGCAACACTTTCTCCTTCTGCCCACACGTCGAGCTGGGGAACTGCTACCTGATTCCTGACCAACTTACGGCGTCCAGCCTCAACAACACAGACACGTGTGACACTTTCATCCCTGTCAAGTTGCCATACCTCGGTAAGTTAAGCTCATTGGTACACATTTACCGTGAGAGAGTGATACACATGTTACGCTGTATCCTACATTGGTACGCTAAGCTCACACCTGAAGCTGTTTAAATAGCCTGTCATTGGTGCACATTTACTGTGACAGGGTCATACACATGTTACGTTGTATCCTACATTGGTACGCTAATCTCACACCTGAAGCTGTTTAAATATCCTGTCATTGGTGCACATCTACTGTGACAGGGTCATACACATGTTACGTTGTATCCTACATTGGTACGCTAATCTCACACCTGAAGCTGTTTAAATATCCTGTCATTGGTGCACATTTACTGTGACAGGGTCATACACATGTTACGTTGTATCATACATTGATACGCTAAGCTCACACCTGAAGCTGTTTAAATATCCTGTCATTGGTGCACATTTACTGTGACAGGGTCATACACATGTTACGTTGTATCCTACATTGGTACGCTAAGCTCACACCTGAAGCTGTTTAAATATCCTGTCATTGGTGCACATTTACTGTGACAGGGTCATACACATGTTACGTTGTATCATACATTGGTACGCTAAGCTCACACCTGAAGCTGTTTAAATAGCCTGTCATTGGTGCACATTTACTGTGACAGGGTCATACACATGTTACGTTGTATCCTACATTGGTACGCTAATCTCACACCTGAAGCTGTTTAAATATCCTGTCATTGGTGCACATTTACTGTGACAGGGTCATACACATGTTACGTTGTATCATACATTGATACGCTAAGCTCACACCTGAAGCTGTTTAAATATCCTGTCATTGGTGCACATTTACTGTGACAGGGTCATACACATGTTACGTTGTATCCTACATTGGTACGCTAAGCTCACACCTGAAGCTGTTTAAATATCCTGTCATTGGTGCACATTTACTGTGACAGGGTCATACACATGTTACGTTGTATCATACATTGGTACGCTAAGCTCACACCTGAAGCTGTTTAAATAGCCTGTCATTGGTGCACATTTACTGTGACAGGGTCATACACATGTTACGTTGTATCCTACATTGGTACGCTAATCTCACACCTGAAGCTGTTTAAATATCCTGTCATTGGTGCACATTTACTATGACAGGGTCATACACATGTTACGTTGTATCCTACATTGGTACGCTAATCTCACACCTGAAGCTGTTTAAATATCCTGTCATTGGTGCACATTTACTGTGACAGGGTCATACACATGTTACGTTGTATCCTACATTGGTACGCTAATCTCACACCTGAAGCTGTTTAAATATCCTGTCATTGGTGCACATTTACTGTGACAGGGTCATACACATGTTACGTTGTATCCTACATTGGTACGCTAAGCTCACACCTGAAGCTGTTTAAATATCCTGTCATTGGTGCACATTTACTGTGACAGGGTCATACACATGTTACGTTGTATCCTACATTGGTACGCTAATCTCACACCTGAAGCTGTTTAAATATCCTGTCATTGGTGCACATTTACTGTGACAGGGTGATACACATGTTACGTTGTATCCTACATTGGTACGCTAAGCTCACACCTGAAGCTGTTTAAATATCCTGTCATTGGTGCACATTTACTGTGACAGGGTCATACACATGTTACGTTGTATCCTACATTGGTACGCTAAGCTCACACCTGAAGCTGTTTAAATATCCTGTCATTGGTGCACATTTACTGTGACAGGGTGATACACATGTTACGTTGTATCACACATTGGTACGCTAAGCTCACACCTGAAGCTGTTTAAATATCCTGTCATTGGTGCACATTTACTGTGACAGGGTGATGCACATGTTACGTTGTATCATACATTGATACGCTAAGCTCACACCTGAAGCTGTTTAAATATCCTGTCATTGGTGCACATTTACTGTGACAGGGTGATGCACATGTTACGTTGTATCATACATTGATACGCTAAGCTCGTGCGACACAATTCAGATATGTTCAGTACAGTGATGCGATGTACCAAATACGTTTAATTTTTTTGTTTGTTATTTTATAGCTACAACGTTTGCACCTGTATAAAATTTGGTTTAAATAGCTTTCTTAAAATCTTTACATCTTCAGACTGATGCCAAGTTTCGATTTGTTCTAAGGCCCATAAAATATCAAAATAATAATGATGACAATAGCCCATATATATGGCGCTGTACTCCATGCATAAGCATGCTCTAAGCGCTTAGATATTTAGTATATATTATAATATATATAGATAGTTAATATGATAAATGTAAAGGAAAGTATCTAAAAATTTAAGAACCGTAAAAATGTGTCAATAAAACGTATCCAAATGGACACCGGACACGTATATGGAACCTAACTGCTTATAATTGTTTATTGTTTAAGGTGTCAGGTATAATGTATACATCTCTTTCAGACTACTTCACGTCATGTGTAGCGGACACCGCTGTATCTGCACTTACCACTGTGGGAAATGTCAGCGACTGGGAGGAGTGTCGCCAGCTGTGCCACCAGGCTGCCAGTCAGTTTGCTGGGATTTTCAATGGAACAGAGTGCTTCTGTAGTGACGATCTGGGTACCGAGCCCACCATCCCTGACGTCAGCTGTAACATCAACTGCTCCACCGTCGTGTCTGAGACGTGTGGCGGAGATAACGCCGTCTCCGTATATAACACCGGAAGCCTGCAACCTCTCATAGCACCGACTGTTGGGATAGACACGCTTGTCGTGACCACGACACCAGGTGTTGTGTTAGTTATGGGTCAAGTTATAAATTTTACAATGGAGGTTAATAACGACACGTATGCAGGGTATTTCATCTCAACACAAGCCATTGATGAAGATTACTTTACAGGATTTAATACTGCGTCATTTGTTGCGGATAAAGTTGGCAGATTTACTCTGTCTGTAAGAGCCATGAATGAAATCAGTTATAAGGACTATTTGACTGATATTTATGTATACATACCTATAACAAGTATAGCCACAGATTATATAAGTGCTGAAAAGACAAGCGAGCTGATAAGCTTCTCTGTAACAGTCCTAAATGGAACTAACATCACTTGTGAGGCAGACTTTGGAGATGGGGATAGCGACAGTTTGTTCAAAATGGATGACGCTGTTCCATTCTCCTTCAGTCACGCATACTCCACTGCAGGGGTAAATGCTATCAATATTACATGTCACAACAACGTCTCTCACCATACTGACATCGGCGCCATCATCATCCAAGATGTCATCAGCAACGTCCAGCTGACAAGCGACAACCCAGTTCGTTACCCAGACGATCTCAACGTGTCCTGGTCACTCGATACGGGAACTAATGTAACATTCACCCTTCTTCTCGATGGTACAGAGACAAACCTTGAAAACTACATGTTCAGTAATTTGTCTGGATCTGCAGTAATACCACATGACTTCTACAACTGGACGGGACAACATGCTCTAGCTCTTGTAGCCTCTAATCTCGTATCTCAGGAAGACTATAACACAAGTGTCATCATTGAAATCCCAATTGACCAGGTGGCCATTGTACCCAATGGAACGTTCCATGCTGTGGGCGCGGTTATCAACTTTGAAATTACTGTAGCAAAAGGTTCCAACCTGACTATTGACTTACAGCTGGATGAGGTGACGAGCGTGGAACTGACATCACCCAGTAACAGCTTCAACCATGTCTTCTCATACCAACACAGCTATAGTTATGCTGGAGAAAAAACAATCAACCTTACAGTGCGTAACATACATGGAATTGTCAGTACAGCGTCTACACTCACCACTGAAGTGTCTGTCATTGGTGTTGACGTCATTGCAGATGACGTCTTAAATCCGGTTGACTTTGAACTTAATGTCATATTCAAGGTCCTTAATGAGTCAGAAATCCCCACTAATGCAATTATTGATGTAGATTTCGGTGATTTAAGCTCATTGTCACATGTGAATTCAGACATTCAGAACCTTTACCAGAATATTACACACAAGTATGTAACGCACGGTGTTTTTGTTCTTAACGTTACCATTCGAAATAATGTCAGTTCTAAGTCTCTGTTCAAAGACCTCAAAGTTGGTGGTCCCATATCTAACTTCACAGTGGCTATAAATAGAATGTTCATCCCGTTTGGCTCACCACTCATCGCATCAGCAGATGTAGCCTATGGGTCGCTCATCACATATAGCTACGATCTGGGAGATGGAACGTCATTTACGCGAAACTATACCAAATCCTACCCGACTGCTGTAGATACGGTGGAACACGTATACAATGACACTGTGGGCTATGGAGTCACGGTCTGGGCATCCAATAGCTTCAACAATGTGTCAGAAACACTGATGGTCCATGTGCAGGAGAGGGTTGAGGGACTCATCCTCACGTCAAATGCTCCAGTCCGAATCAACACCACTGTCACTATCTTTCTGACGATGGTGTCGGCGGGAACAGACACCTGCTTTGTGTTTGACTTCAATGACGGGACTGAAATGTTATATGGAGTAGCTTCCTGTCCATCCCGTCCAGAGTATAACGGAATCACTTTTGAAGAAAACCTGGGGTCACCGCTGGTTGTCACTCATGTGTTCTATCTGGAAGGCACTTACAACGTCACAGTGAACAGCTCTAACGAAGTATCATGGGACTTTGTATCGCTGTCAGTGAACATCCTGGAGTATCTCTGTATTGAGCCACAGGTTGAGATACTAGGTCTCTCAAAGAACGGATTTTCCCCAGTCACCATAAAACGGTCGAAACGGTTTGAGTTGTCAGCTAACATTGACACCCAGTGTGTTCCTCCAGTCAACACAGTCTACAGATGGGTCATGGAAAAGGTGTCCGTATCAGGCAACCAATCACATCAGGTGGTTGATGTCATACAAGAAATAATCAGCCCAACAAACGGCCTGCCTTCGATAACCGTTCCATCCAACTATTTACCGTATGGAGTGTACAAAATATCCCTTACTGTGTCCTATGAAAAGGGTTCCCCATTTAAAACAACTGATTACTCATTCATAGAAATTGTACCTTCCCAGCTCATATTCTCCATATCGGGGGACTATTTCCGAACGGTGTATGTAGGCGATGATCTGGTAGTGGATGGCAGTGCATCCCATGATCCAGACCACAGTGGTAACACCACTGAAGGATTACAATACAAGTGGTTCTGTCGACTGCTGAATGAGTCTTTTATCACTGACAATGACAGCGTCCCCTTGGACAGCGTTTCAACGGACAGTCCTGGGTGTCTTGGGAATGGATACGGATATCTTAACCAGACCTCCGAAAGACTTTATCTGAACTCATCTGAACTGGTGGTGAACCTGGTGTATGTATTCGGCCTGGTCATCAGTAAAGATAGTCGTGTGATGTATGGAGAACACAGAGTGAAAACTGTCGGATCAAGAATATATCCTATTACAATGCGGTAAGTGGGTGTCTTTATTTTTCCGCTGAAATTGTGACGCATCAGTGACAAATGTATGTCCGATGCAATTCCCTGTTTTGACCTTTATGCCCCAGATGAATTATTGGTCTGCCTTTGGATGTGTTTGTGACTTGTGACACCGGTAGGGCAGGATAGCTTACCCTTTAGTAGAGCTAATGATAATGGAAAAGATATTTTTGTCTCGTTCATTTTCTGTATACAGTGAAATACCTTATGTTCCGGGCCCTTTGAATTGACCAATTTGGTGTAAGTACGACCACATATATAAGGCATATTTACGGAACCCTGATTCGATAATCCAGATATTTAAAAAAACACCCAGATGTCTGGGGTTTCACTGCCGCGAAAACTGTACGTTCGAGCTGTTGACTTTGACCTTACAGAATTTGGGATGAATTCTTGTAATATATTACTTCTTCCAGGACGTTTCGGTTGAAGACACATCCGGGGCGCATAGAAACTAACGTAGAAGTACTTTTACCCTCACCCTTGATACCTCAAATAAATCAGAACACACATAATCATGCCTTCAAGATCCCCCAATGTTTTTGTTTTGAAGGTGTTTTGACAACTGTGGCGCCAAGGTAGTTGCGAACCAGCCGCTGCGACTAGAGAGTGTCTGTAGCGTGTGTACCCAGCTGGAACAGTTGGACCTACCCTTTCTCTGGGAGCTCTTCATTCTTGATGGGGACGACTACCAACAGCTCAACATCACACTGTGGGCCGTGATAGGTGAATAATATATAGTTCGTGGGCCGTGATAGGTGAATAATATATAGTTCTTCGTGTATTGTTCCGATGCTGGCCTTAACAACTATATATACATATGATCAGAAGTCCATGACTCAATGCGGCTGTGGCAGAGCGACTATCGAAGTTCTCTTACTCCCCCATGACCTTAGTGCTGTTCTTGTTTGATCATTTCAGTGATGATATCATGATAATTACACATCTCCATGTGAAGAAAATTAAGAGTTTTACCTCATTCCTCAAGAAGCGTTAATTCAAGCAAAACAATTATCTATGTCTTACTATCGAGCAAAAGGAAACGTACGTCATTGACGTTGTGACATAGACCTATTATGGAGATTGTATGCATGGTTCCATACAAGTCCCAATGTATCAAAGGGGTCATATAAATCCAGGTTGTGAAAGACAAAATTGACATTCGCGGGTTGAACACTGAGCGTCAAGCAACCGACAGATGCAGCTTCTCGTTAGCTGCGACTAAATAGATCATGTCATCAGTTTCAGAGATCGCATGTCGTGAATCATAATTGCATCGATGTTCATGATGTCAATTACTTCTTTGGTCCAGATTCGATTATTTACATATAGCTGGACTACTGCTATCGTAGTATGTGTCGAGAACAGCTCAGAATAGTTATCTTTCTGAAGGTAAGTTTGTCTTTTAATCCGACTTTAATGAGTATCGGGTGGATACAATGTCTCCACTGGCTGATATTGGCTGAAGTCGAGTATCCTTAGGCCGCCTTCACATCGTTGTAATATTGTTTTCTGCAAACATTCACTCAAATATCACATGTGCTAGGTTACATATGCATAGTGTAACAATGACCATTTCTGTACAGGTGAAAAAACAACAGTCGCGGAACAGACAGGTATTTTGCATGGTTGATGAAGTATTGGTTTGAGTATTGCATGATGTTTTACAAGCATGATCTAGTGTTTCGAACTTGACACTTAAGAACTGACTTTCTTTTCGTGAAATATGAACCTTCACAGAGTGAGGGCCAAACTGTATGAGCTTGGAAACGGAAACGTGAGACGACGTTCAAACAGTTTGGCCCTCATTGTGTGAGGGTTCAAGAACTGTCACAGGGTGAAGGCCAATTCTTATAAATTTCTATATCACTATTTTATACCTCGAAGGTATACCACATTTTTATCTAGTGATCTTTAGCACGTGTGACTTCACGGTTTCACTGACTGACATGCAACAACAAGCGGTAACGAGGAATAAAATATTTCCTGAAAAGGAGAGATGGCATGAGTGTATGTATACTTTAATTATTTTGTTTGTAGTTTGGTTGCAACGAGTAGATTCAAATAATATCATCTTTGATGAAAATGATTACCAGATTAAATCAGTCACAGTGACAGCGCTTGTAATACATTACATCAAAATACAGGACTTCAATGGCCGACACAATGAACGTGACGGGGGAGATTTCCTCGATATACTTTATCGATTCAGAAGACAGTTAAAAAGGATTTTCCCATTCAGAGCTGTTTTCATGAGTATTAAGATGAGACGGGAAGCTGCATTAGAGACAGCAGGCAACATGGCGAGTCAGGTACTCGTTATAACGCTGCCTATTTCAATCACGACAGAACAGTGTAATTTGATTGAACTGCTATTTTTAGGGTCAGATAATTCAAATCTGAACCAAACGAAAATATGGTGGCAAATGGGTCGAGGCCACAAAAGAACGGACATATATACAAAGTTTACAATCACGTCAAAATACCAGAAAAAGTTTCTGTTATTAAAAACGTGTCCCTATATGTAAAAAGACATTTACCTATGTAACTACAAATGTATAAAAATATGAACGTTTGTTGTAAGAAAATATGTGCATGTGCATATTATTCATGTAAATGAACTCTTGGCCATTCTTCTCCTTTCTTCTCCTAATCTTTCTCTCGTTCTCCCACTGTATTCTGTTTACTACTTCTGCGGGTTTAAGCAATTTAGCTGCATTCAACCAAAGCGTAATTATTTCACATAGTCTACAATGTTTTTTATTGTGATATGTCCAGGTTTCGAGGGTCCCAACTTAGCACTGAACCCGGGACTTCTCTCTCCTGGAGTTGACTACCGTCTTAGACTGACGTCCAACGACATGATCACCGAGAGACACGTCAGCATCAACTTCCCTCCTTATGGCGGACACTGCTACGCTGATAAACAACTGGGTCAGTAGACCTGTTCATATTCCAGCAACCCATGCTTGCGGTAAAAGTCCTAAGAGGCGACTTAATGGATCGGGTGGTCAGACTCACTGACTCGGTTGATGCATGTCATCATAGCCCACTTGCGTGGATCGATGCTCATGATGTCAATCACTGTATTGTCTGGTGCAGACTTGATTATTTACAGACCACCGTCAGCCCAAGTTTGACTGATAATAGAAACAGCCAAATGGCTAAAGTTGTCTTTACATGCTTCTAAAGAACAGATGCAACACTAACAGACTAACGGGATCGGGTGCTCAGGCTCGCTGACTTGGCAGATGCATGTCTCCGTATCCCAATTGCATGGATCATGTTCATGATGTCAGTCACTGGACTGTCTGGTCCAGACTTTATTATTTAGATCAGATGGTCTGGCTCTCTGACTTTGTTGATACATCATTTCCCAATTGCGTAGGTGGATGCACATGATGTCAATCACTGGATTGTCTGGTTACCGACCGCCGTCATATAGTTGGAATATTGCTGAGTGCGGCGTCAAACAACAAACACTTTAGGTGACGATTTTACACGTTTTGGACCGCAATTACTGAGCCATTGTGGATACACCTTTGGTTCGTGAATATCATGGGTTGATTCATTGATTAGATGTGAAGCGCCAACTAGGCTACCTCGTTGAAAGCAGGCCTTCTAACATGCTGACCAACTGACCACTGTGTGGGACACGTGTATGTATGACCAATATATTTTCAGGCATGGAGTTTGCGACGAAGTTTGTGATTTTCTGCGAAGATTGGTTAGACGAAGGTGATCGCCCAGCCCCAGACCCTTTGGAGGACAGCAGATACAAGGAACCACTGACATTTAAATTCTCCTACCGAGTACGAGGTTTGTCATCCAGACCCCATGTGTTCTATGAGGTGACCGGGACCAACGTACACACATCCGAAGTGATTTTTCGAAGTGGACAACCTGAAGAGGATCATCATATTGACCTATATATTGAAGTAGCAGATAGCAGTGGAGCTTCAAATGTCACTACGCTTTCTATCAAGGTTGGTCCCTAATTAATGTTCATTAACTCAACCTCCCATTATCTCAACATTTCGAGCGATGTAGAATCGTCAGCACTATGGATTCATTGTTCTTTTAAGCAAATGACTTATCATTCAGCGTTATTGATATGAAAATGGAATCCCTATTGTGCAATTGATATCTTGGAGATGTGTGATTCTTTTGCAATGGTTTATGACACGCACAATATCTATCTTGTGTTATTCCAATAATCGACCGCCTCCGTGGTCTAGTGGTAGAGCTTCCGCCCAGAGAGCGGAAGGTCAGGGTTTCGATCCCCGGCCGCGTCATACCAAAAGACGTTGAAAGATGGTACTTGTTGTTACCCTGTCTGGCGCTCGGCATTAAGGGGCTAAAACAAGGACTGGTCGGCTCGGAGTCAGTATACCGTGTCTGAGTGGGGTATTCATGTTAAACTGCGGCATGGTATCTCAGTGTGCTAGCATTATAAATCAGCATCAGTCTATCACACACACACACGTGCATGCACATCGCTTATAAGTGCAGTCATCTTTGACGCGACGTTAAACCCCATTTCACCTTACCTCACCTTTTTTATAAAATCAGCTCAAATGGTCTATTCGTGCACGAGAAGCTTTAGTTCGAGCCAAGGATATTTTATCAGGAATACTGACGAATATGCAGATTTTTTTTCATATAAGGTACAAGACTTTCTATAAGGTATTCAAGTTTTAAAAACACATTTTTACTGCATTGTGCTGAGGTATTGGGATTTGAAACTACTATGTAATAGGTAAGGTTCACTTCTAAGTTGTCTCGGTTGTTGATGGTGATGAGTGAGTGAGTGAGTATGGTTTTACGCCGCTTTTAGCAATATTCCAGCAATATCACGGCGGGGGACACCAGAAATGGGCTTCACACATTGTACCCATGTCGGGAATCGAACCCGGGTCTTCGGCGTGACGAGCCAACGCTTTAACCACTAGGCTACCCGACCGCCCTGATGGTGATGATGATGTTGTACGAGACGAAAGGAAGTAGTAACTGTAGCAGATGTGAACCAGTGTCGTGTTATAGTTGTTTTGGAAATGGTTGGAATGAACACTATACGCCAACAGAAAATCATCATAAATTCCTTTTTAATGAGACGAAAAAATATATACTAAGCTTCCAAAATAAGAACGATTAGCTAAGAATCGACCCACAAATGTTATTATAACATATATTTTAATCAAACGTTTGTTTGTGTGTTTGTTTGTTTGTCGGCGCTATCCCAACTAATTGACATCGGTCTGTAAATAATCGAGTCTGGACAAGACAATCAAGTGATTGACATCATGAGCATCGTCTCACGCAATTGGGATACGATGACACGCATCAACTAAGTCAGCAAGCGCTACCACTGGATCTCGTGCGATAACTTAGTGCCCAAATGAAAAAATGTATATGACTGAAAAAATATAAACATTTCAGGTTATCCCAAATATCGACCTCGTGGCGAGCGTTCACAGTGGTGACACCTATGCAAGATTTGAAGCCGAGAAAGACATCTCCGCCCTATTGCTCATAAACCTGGGGGTCATGGAGAGCTTAGACGAGGTGAGACTACTAGCAAAGTCAGATTTCTAAAACTTAAGTTTAGACTTAAGAAAAATCTTAGTTTCTTTATGAATACCGCCCCTGTACAGGTGTACTCACTGATCGTGAAGGATTATGGTCTCATCGCGATGATTGCATGTTGTACGTTTATCCATCAATCTCATTATATGTGTCAGTGTGTATGCTCAGTTTAACTAGCACGTGTCGTATTATTATAACATCGGAGAGGAGCCAAAACGAACTTGTAGATATCATCATTCCGTACAAAAACATCCCTGAGAACAGGTTTCTATGTGTTTTTTCACTCAGCTAACAAAATCAATATTAACTTCTATGTCCACGCCGATAACTTATACCCCCATATAATATTAATGTGACGTCATGAACAATGAATGATGTCATCTTGATATATTTTGTAATCTTAATGTATGCTACATTCTTGCATATCCATCAATGGGTTAAGACAAGAGAGAAGTCTAATGTGCACGAATCGAATTACGAAATGTGGTAATTGTCACATGAAGCCTACGTCGACAATTAGATTGTTCCTCAACTATTGGTAGTGTGACGTTCATATATGTTTAAATAGGATAAGCCAGTTCAGTAAACTGAACATTTCTGTCTCTCTCACAAGAAATATTTACAACCTGTGTAATTAAGAGTACAGATGGAGAAAGTATAGCAAGAAAATCCTTTTCATATTCAATAGAAATCTCGATTACATCTATATCCTGAGCATGTGAAAGGTTATGCTAGCCGGATTGGTAGTGTTTCAGTCATAAGCATAGTGGTTTCAAATTGTGGATATAAAGTTCTCTAAGGTGTTTTAAGACATTGCTGATCGGCGTGTGGCTCGAGGTGGTACGAGGAGTGCAATGATCTTGAACGCAGCGTTAAACCCCATTTCACCTCCCCTCACATTGTCGCATGAATACATTGAGAAAGTGGTGCATGTTAATATGATTGATGAGCACTTTCTTGTCGTGTGATAATGTTTGTTCCTGCATGCAATTTCCGATTTTCATTGTTTTGTTCGTTTTCAGGTATTGCACAGCATGAAAGTAGGGTAATTTAGATGATTATGGGTACAAGTTATGTAAAAAAAGAAATACTAACAATGTTTTAGTTATTTTGGCATATTAGCACCAAATCAACATACAAAATATCAGGGATGTGAAATCTCCGCGGAAACGCGGAAAATCGCGTTTTTTAAAACAGTAGTCCTCGGAAAAAGTCATCTTCCGCGTAAAGATTTAATCAAACATTTAAAAAAAAACACTCCGAAAAATATGATCGAAAACCGGACAACCATCGCGGATATTTAATATGTTTAAATCCTGCCTCTTTCCAGGAAAATGCTTAATGGAAGAAAACACCTAGAAGTTATCCTGTGGTTAAGAAAGAGACGAAACCAGAACCATACATATTTAGAAACATGTCATTTCTGTAGGTTGATCATTGAAACTAGGTGGAAATAAGAAACCCATGGTGTAGTCTGAGGCATGGCATGGCACTGCATGGTATTGTTTTGTTCACGTTCTCAGCATGCTTGTATTTCAGGTGAACTCCCCCGCCAGTTCATCTGTAACAGTGACTGTACAGGTAGTCAATATTGTCTATATTGTAACTAACACCTGGACACAACTGGTACACTTTTGTAATCGTGATGCTTTTTGTATAATGTCATATGAAGAAAAACTATGTTTTCAAAGAAAACACAGCTTTTTATGTCACAATGTGATTACTTTTGTAATATATATATTAGGGGTGTCATGATAAATCGACATATCGATATATTGCTATTGGTAAGCACTTAAAGTCAATAAATCGATTCTTAAATCCGTGTCTAATGAATAGTGTCGATTTCAGTTAGGAATATCGATAGTTTCCATTGTATTTACCATATCAACAAAATACATGCAATGCTGTTCAAATTTGTTTTTCTTTTCATCATAACTGGTAGTTATTTACACATCGTAATGTGGAAGTTTCTATTTCTTAAATTATTTTTGTAAAAAAAACAAATCGGCATATCTCAAACTTTACTTTTTATTTGTTGTCATGGTTATCACATTCAAAGAAAACTTCAGTTCCAAGGTTTAATTCAACTCTAAAATCCATATAAAATGATACACTGAAAATTATCGATATTTATCGCAATAGTTGCTTACAATATCAATAGTTATCGCAATAGTGATTTCAGAACAATAGTCACCCCTAATAAGTAAAACAAATATATATGGTGATAATTGGACTGATACCAAGTCACCCTGCCTCCTTGATTAGAATAACATTCCTTTTTCAAATCCAATCTTCACCATCACTAACATGTGCACTGTCGTAAAACCAAATAAACCATAATTTGGCTGCAGATGCGTGAGAACGTCGTAAGTCACATATCTCGGCATGCAGACTGGGTGGAGACTCCCTCTCAGGTGGAACTCCTTTCTGACGTTTTGACGGAAGTCATCCAGAAACCCGAGGAACTCTCTGTCAGCTCCAGAGTAAGAACACACCTTTACTGCCATTCCCTTGTATCCGCTTGGATTCCATATAAAGTTCTACCTTCGGGGATATCTTAATATGAATTATCTTATGAATATATTGGAGAACATGCCCTATACAGTGTAGTTCACCTTCGGGATATGTTGATGAATACTTGTGCATTTCAATTTGTTTGAGTACCATAAATTATGCTGATCAAATTAAGTCTTTGAAAGGCATTTGGAAGTGATACACATCAGGAAGAGAATTTATGGATGTCAACTTCTTTATTATGAGGAACACAAATCAAATCAAGATTATTGTAGCGACGCGGATCTGTTATGCTCTGTCAATTGAATATTTTTGACCGTGGCTATTGGCCAATGTTTTGTTAACCAGAAAGAGGCGGTGCATGTGTACAACACACTCCTCGGCTCTTTAGACAGCGCCTTCAATGAGTCCAGCGACACCGTCACACAGCAGAGAGTGGCAAAAGGTGAGTGAGTTTGATACTACATACTACAGTTTGATACATCATATGTGTGTAGGTAATGATTGACTGATAGACAAAACAGCACATATGTGGGAAGTAAATGATTCCACTATCTTCATGAAGAGAGGAGCAAGGGTGGCCATGTTGTCAAAATGTCGATAGTTCCAGTCCTAGATTCGTCTCGCCTATGGCCTTGACCTTGCCTATCACATTGCCATGGCAACTTTGCGTACAACAATAGGCATAATTATATTAAAATAACTTTTCACAACTACAATTAGTTGGGGTATATGTGTTATATTGGTTGTTTTTGGTGAAATATTATTTATGTAATGTCGTAACACAATTCCTAAAAAATTCTCAATGAGATTTGTTAACATCTTCTAGCTACCCGCACTTTGAGAATCAGTTTGACACAAATGACTATCTGAGTGAGAATACAAGTGATGTTTGTAATTTACACTAGATGGCGAATTTTTATCACTATTACAGAGTACTGTGTCTCTGTGTTGATATTTTGAGTTCTACACTTTCAAAAATAGAAAATAAAATGACGCTTTCAGTTTGCAATTAAATCACAAACAGTAAATCTGTCACATTTCAGGATTGTACGAATCGTTTTTTGATCTGATGCTGTCCAACACATTCAACTCGACGTGTGAGACTGACTGCGAAAACAAGAAGGCTCTGGTACATATGACTTACATCATCTCGCTTTCCCTTGAAGGCCTAGAAGATATAGTTTATATTTGCGATATACTTATGCTTCAGGAAGCTGATTAATTAATGGTTGCATTTACTTCGTCACAATGACAAACCATCATACCCAGGCTATCATGGCGGGCTATCAGCTTGCATGAGCAATGATGAGCGCCTTGCGGGAACCATTACAATCTGACAAGTGACGTCTGAGAATCCTGCCCAGTGGTCACTCGGACTATTTACACTCAGAAACCATTGTGACCACGGGGTCACGCCATATATCCCTTTGTTTAGTATTTACTCACTTGCTGAACGTACCTCTAGTACATGCCTGATAGAGAGTTATTATTATGGTTCTTTCTGTGTCTTATCATATATATGTTGGAGTTTTCGCCCAAATATGGTATCTGGATGTTACTTGGGGCGGTCGGGTAGCCTAGTGGTTAAAGCATCGGATTCGATTCCCGACAGGGGTACTATGTCTGATGCCCATTTCTGGTGTGCTCCGCCGTGATATCAATGGAATATTGCTTAAAGTGGCGTAAAACCATACTTACTCACTCACTCACTCACTCATTCACACACTCACTCACTGGATGCTGCTTGGAATTGGTAAAATTAAGAAATGACCACAGCTGAACGAAAATGATAAAATGACATACGTTTTGTCGTGAAAAAAATGTTTTTAACCCTCTCAAGTGAACTACAATTTGGTTGTTTCAAGAGATAAACTATACTTATTCAGAATTAATACTATTGCAAAACGTATAGGTATGTTCCATCCGAGGTCAACTTGAATCTGGATCTTAAGAACCGAATTAAATTTTAGCCGTAACCAATACCATTATGTGGGTTAGTATCATCATCCCCGCCTTCTGCCTCTTCTTCAGGCTGCCTCGACCCAGTCCGTGTTCAAAGCCAGGGACTCGTTGGTGAAGATGCTGCTGAAGGGAAGTGTTGCTGGCGAGGAAGCAACAATCATTACCAGCACCGGCGGTGATCTCACTTACAAGTTGCAGCGGACAATGGCATCAAATATGTTGAACTCCTCCACTGGCACCGGATCTGGTAAAGAGGCAGCATCATTCCCCAACATCACAGCAGCGTTGATGAAAGCGGGTGCTGCAAGTGTAGACGTGGAGGTAGGTCCGGGTATTCTTAATGGTACATCCATCCTTCTGTGTAATGTATTGCAACCCAGAGGATGTCTGCGCACATTCCCAATAACCTCTGATGAAGCCACTGAACGTTACACAAGTTCTCACTGGATATTAAATTTAGGATATTACTAGAATACTAGCCTACAGGACCCGTGAAGTTCCGGTGTAGAATAGGTCTTCAGCAACCCATGCTTGCCGTAAAAGGCGACTATACTTGTCGTAAAAGGCGACTAACGGGATCGGGTGGTCAGGCTCGCTGACTTCGTTGATGCATGTCATCGATCCCAATTGTGTCGATCGATGCTCATGATAGCAATCACAGGATTGTCCGGTCCAGACTGCGTAGGACTAACACGTGGCACTTTATATTGCGTCCACATTTGTTCAGTGTGACGTTCATAAAAGAATTTAGTAATGGAGGAGCAGGACTGTGAACCATGTTGAAATCTTCAGCAAATACGACTGTATTATTTCCTTAAAAAGAAGCAGATGTCACGGAGATGATTGTACTGAAAAGGAATAAACGTACACTTAGCCAAAATATATTTATTTGCAAGCATATTATTTTTACTAAATTATAATATTTAGCTGCCATATTCCTGTGACATAATAGTAATACATGACAATAATGGTTTTATCTTCAGCGAATACCCTGATAGTTCTAATATTATGAACTCAGAGAGTATCTATCAACATATTGGTCACCCGCACGTACAAACGTTTTGTGTCATTCATGAATGAATATATAATAGCTCAATTCTAAAAATGCAGTTATGTTTTATACGTTACCTTACTTGTTTGAATACCTTAGTTTTGTGTTGGAATAATATCTATAGCCCTTTGTCTGTAACATACTTAGACTAGCCCACAAAAGCTGTGAGACCTGTGAAGATGCGGGGTAGAATAGGTCTTCAGCAACTCATGCTTGCCGTAAAAGGCGACTATGCTTGTCGTAAGGCGACGAACGGGATCGGGTGGTCAGGCTCGCTGACTTGGTTGATGCATGTCATCGTATCCCAGTAGCGTGGATCGATGCTTATGCTCAATCACTTGATTGTCCGGCCCCGACTCGATTATTTCCATACCGCCGTCATAAATCTGGAATATTGCTGATTGCGGCGTTAAAAAACAAACAAACATAAGCTGTGATCACTGATTCCTTTCTTTAAGGTGATGGAATCGAGCAAACTACAGATAGATGATACGGACAGTGTCCAGACACGTACAACATCTGTCACTCTGTATAACCATGGCAACGAGATAGACATCAACCAGCTCACAGACGCCATCAGTGTGTATGTGTACCCAACCAATGACGTTGCCACTGATACAATAGATGTGGCTGAAAATTACACTGGTGATCCATTTTACATCAAGGTCGCTCTAGAAAGACCAGATGTTGTTGTTGCCGCTCAGTTCAAGCCCGAAGATGCTGAAAACGCCTCATTTGCATACTTCGTAAGCTATAACTCTGTACCAACCAATCAGAGTAGTGAAGTTAATGGAACGATGCCACTGGAAGATCAAACGGAGGCTGAAAAACAGTGGGCGTTGACATTCGACGTCACATCATTTTCCAGTTATAGTGACGGGAAAAACCAAGAGATGAAGCCATCAGTGTACATTGGGATCGTTCCCTTACACGGTGAGTATTCTCATTGCCCAGCTTATGATAACTTACACTGACCATAATAGTAGAGGATATTTCTCAGCATAAGATACCCAGTTACTGTTGCTAGAATAGTTTCCCAACATACATAAATATCAAAATCAGAAAAGCTGACATTTGTATATGCTTTGTTTGAACAGATACAAATGTGACATCCTCGGTGCTCAACGTGACGATCTTCTCTGCTGGGTGTCAGTATTATGACTCACAGTCTAGCAGTTGGAAACATGATGGACTGAAAGTAAGAAACCTTGTTTTCCAATTTCAACTGAATCTAACAACACCAAAAATATAAGTTTTTTCCCGTCACATACTGACCCCCATGTAGATGGATATGTAAGAAAACCATCCCAGTTACAAGCATGCACCTGGCGAAGACCTCGGCCCACTTGCACAAAGCTATCTTAGTGCGACAACTATTGTAAGCCTATGTTAAAGTATGGGGGTTACGATGATCTTAGCGCTAAGATCGCTTTGTGCAAGTGGGCCCTGGTTTCATCACTGCGTTTCTGTGACTCATCCATATATTTTTAGGGCAGCTAAAAGTTAATTAGCGCTGTACAAATGGAGGACATGAGTTAGATTAGCACTGACTGGTAATAAGCAATGGAGAAAAAAAAGGCAGGGGTTAATTAGCACTGGTTGTTAATTAGCAATGGACAAATGAAAGCCAGTTGGGTTAATTAGCCTTGATGTATGTTTGTGTGTTTTTTAACGAAGCACTCAACAGCATTCCAGCTATATGATGGCGGTCTGTAAATAATCGAGTCTGGACCAGACGACCCAGTGATTGATATTATGAGCATCGATCTACGCAATTGGGATACGATGACATGCATCAACCAAGTCAGCGAGCCTGACCACCCGATGCCGTTCGTCGCATCTAACGACAAGCACAGACGTCTATTATGGCAAGCATAGGTTGCTGAAGACCTATTCTAATCCGGATCTTCAAGCAAGCAAAGAGTACAGAGTAAGGAATGTTGACAACACCCACCAGGGATCCATTCATTGGGTGATGGGATGGGTTAACTTAGTGGTTTACATGTCCCTGTACCTAGATGATATTGCGTCCCAGACGCGATTATTTACAGCCTGTGTGTATAGCTGGAATATTGCTGGCCATTGCGTTGATTTGAAGTTTTTTATCCTGCATATTGTCAATTCACAATTCAGATAGGCAAAAAGACGGATGCAACGAAAATAGAATGCCTGACAAGCCATCTGACATCCTTTGGGGCCAGCTTCTTCGTGCCGCCTAACACCATTGACTTTAAGAACGTGTTTGCCAAGTTTGCAAACCTTGCAGAAAATGCTGCTGTCTTCTCCACCATCATTGTCGTCATCGTCCTGTACCTCATTGTCGTCTTCTTTGTCCGGAGGGCGGACAAGAAGGATGTTGAGAAGGTAGGGCAATATGTGACTTTAAATTCATACAGTTCATATTTATTACGCGTCATGTTTTGGAAAAGTTTTTGATAGATATTGGCGGTTTAAGGTTTAGTAAAGTGTAATTATTTAGACAATATATTGTCAATCGCAGAAATATCATACCATACACCTACAGTAAACTACGATTATAACGAACTCAAAGGGTCTACTAATTTTAGTTCGTTATAACCGTAGTTCGTTATATGCATATATACAGCATAACTACAGCAAATAGTCGGGACCAAAAAGTAAGTTCGTTATATCCGTCAGTTCGTTATAAGCGTGTTCGTTTTCACCGTAGTTTACTGTATTTTCGAAAAGAATATCATGACACCATGACTTCTTATAATACTACGGATTTAATCCTTTTTTACAATTAATCATTTTCAATTGAGTTGTAATGTTGGGACTCTCTAGGAATGAAGTTGTGAAAGATGAGAATGATCAACTTCCTATTCCAGTGGAGTGTTGTCCCACTGAGAGACAACCTACCGTCCGACGTGTACCACTACCAGGTGACTGTGTTCACTGGCTTGAGGCGGAATGCTGGCACCAAGTCCCAGGTGTATCTGGTTCTTGGAGGCGAACACGGCGACACGGAGATACGCTCACTAGAAGACGAGAAGGAACGGGTGAGTGGTCTCTCCATTAATATAATCTAGATACCAATTGTATCTATCGGGTCAAAAAATGTGCTGTCTGAATTTCGCAAATATCTTAAACTAACAGATGTATTATTTCTTCAATGTATTTTTTCAAACATCACTACATACGTAAGCGCTAACTATTCTTTGACAAGAAACACTCTCAGATGAGCACTAGTATCTGGCACACGTTATTCTCCTTGATAATGAAAGTGTTGTTATTCTCTATCCTCTTTTTTGAAATATATAGTTCGGCCATCTGAAACACTTTTTGTGTATATGTTACGAAATATAGATGAGAATAGGGTTTTGGTAAGTTGCCATTGCATGTTCATGTGACCCGTGAAGATCCGGGGTAGAATAGGTCTTCAGCAACCCATGCTTGCCGTAAAAGGCGACTATACTTGTCGTAAAAGGCGACTAACGGGATCGGGTGGTCAGGTTCGCTGACTTCGTTGATGCATGTTATCGATCCCAATTGCGTGGATAGATGCTCATGATGTCAATCACTGGATTGTCTGGTCCAGGCTCGATTATGTAGGGACCGCCGTCATATAGCTGGAATATTGCTGAGTGCGGCGTTAAACAACAAACAAACATGTTCATGACAGTGTACATCGTTTTATAGCAAACTAATAACCACATCACTGTGTTTTACCACATTATTATTTCAGAGACTGGACCGAGGCAGCGTCAACAGCTATGTCCTTAGTGTGCCCCAGTCTCTTGGATCACTGTTGTTCTTGAGAATCTGGCATGACAACTCTGGGAAAGGCATAGACTCCGACTGGTACCTCAATATGGTGATTGTGAAGGATATACAGACTGACATCAAGTACGACTCATATTTTGGGCTATTTACTTAATATAGTTTTACTTGACAACTTTTAGATATCTCATTTCCCGAGTACAACATCAGCCTCATTTTTCCATTATTGTATACTACGCATCCTATGATATACTGAGAGGATAACAACTCAGAAAGGTTAATTATCCCCCGGCCAACAAAGTTGGCGGGGGATATAGAAACGGGCTCCGTCCGTTCGTCCGTCCGTATCGTTTCGTTTCCGGAGCATAACTCAGAAACCGTTCAAAAAATGTTCATGAAACTTTGCAGGTCTGTCATGTACATGTTGAACTGGTGCCTTTTGCTATTTAGAAATTTTTTAAATATAATTTTTTACGTTTCCATGGCAACAAGATGGACTTAGGTTCCAAACTCTTCTTTTTTAACAATTTCCATGACAAGTTCCTACTCGGTTAAAAAAGTTTAGGGTTTGTTTAGATTTAATTATGTCATAAATTCTGCAACAGGGGCGGGGGATATAGCCACGTTAGTGGCAAACTCTTGTTGTACCTTGATATCAAGCTTATTATGAAAGTGACAGTCGGAATGTGATTTCTAATCATGCAGCCTCGAAAACTTTAACATTGGGTATTCCGAACGATAGTTACGGGTTTGACGACTAAATCTGTACAATCTACACCATCTATTAGCCATTATAGAATGTTTTTTTTGTTCAGGTTTCAAATTTGTAATCGAGAATTTGTCAAAATATGTTTCGAAGCGTAGTCGCCAATTTGAAATTAGTGCCGTAAAGCACGAGAAAGCTGCCTTCTGATTGGTCATTCCATAGGTCGGTCTGACGTGACCCGTAATGGGATGTCCTCAGATCTTTGTTTAGCGGTAGCGAGAACTAAGATATGATTTTAATGAGATTGTGGTGAACATTATGTGAATCCCGGTATTCGTTAATTTGTGTGAATGGATTCTAAAAACAAGTGATGACACCAGGTGTTCGCGAAAAGGTTAAGCATGCCCTGCTCTACAAGTTGCACCCGCCATTCACACAATTTGCATAAAAATGAATGCGTTTGTTGTCAGACACCACACAGCAGTACTCTTGTGATGGACCTGACAGTCCAGTGACACGCTATCACATTTACTGACTGTTGAAGCTAAAACCGAAATGCTAAAAACAAATATCTTTCATATGACTACATATCGGTCCCCAGCCTTGTCATTCAATAAAGTGACAAAACCCTTTCCATATCCAGAAGAAATATCTGCATTAAAGCAGAGTCGATTATACAATTCCGACTATATCATAAGCAAGTGTTTATGAATCACTATCAAATAGTAATGATACCAGGTGTTCGCGAAAAGGTGAGCGTATGCTGCCCCATCGGTGGCACCCGTCACAAACACATGCAAGGGCAAGTCAACTGTTCACCTAAAAAAACATGGGCACATATGGTACAAGTCAAAATAGGGAATTGCATCGGACATAATTTTTGTCACTGATGCGTCAAATTTGGAAATATCCTCCACATGTCCACTATAAAACGTTTAGAAAGCTTTACTGAGGCATTGAACGTTGTAACCTTAATCAAACAACGTCTGAGCAAGAGTCGTATGACTTTGAGATCATGCTCGATTGTATCTCAAAAGTTGCGAAATGTAAACACCAAAGACTGGAGCTGGTGGAATATTGCTCAAAACAACCCTTTCAAAAATTGAGTACTTCATGTATATTACAACGCTACGTAAACTTATATCAATCGAAATACAACATAACACGGATTGTTTTCCTTTGTTACAGGCATGTGTTTCTCTGTGATCGATGGATGGCTGTCGACAAGGATGATGGTCTTATAGAACGTTTCATACCCGTGTCCACTGATGAAGAACTTGCATCTTTCGGTCACATATTTGCTTTCAAGTCTCGACAAGACCTCACAGATGGTCACCTGTGGTTTTCTGTACTATCTCGCCCTACCTGGAGCACCTTCACCCGAGTCCAGAGGCTGTCCTGCTGTCTGTCGCTGCTCTTCACCACAATGGTGGCCAATGCTATGTGGTATGGAACCACTCCCTCCCAGGGAACCCAGGACGTCCATCTCGGCCCCTTCACCTTCTCCCCTCAGGAGCTGACGACAAGTCTTATGATGAGCCTGATCGTGGTGCCCATTAACCTGCTGATTGTCACGCTTTTCAGAAAGGCTGGTCCCAAGCCTCCCAAGAAAAACAAAAGCAGTGATGCTCTTTACAATACGAATAAAACAGGACATCTATCCAAACAGTGGTCTTCTGATGGAATATTTACCGTTGAACCTATCCAGAAAGAACATGACAAACAAAAGTCTCCAAAAGTGGTAACCAGAACTCCTGAGGCAAAGAAATCGTGTTGTGTGTGGCCGTACTGGTTCACATACATAGCCTGGTTCTTGGTCGTTCTGTCGATCGCTGCACCGGCCTTCTTCACGGTCTTGTACAGTCTCGAGTGGGGAGCTGACAAGTCATCGCGCTGGCTCACCAGCTTCGTCCTGTCATTCGTAGAGTCAGTCCTGCTCGTTCAACCAGTCAAGGTAGATATCAGCAACTTTGTATGAAGCGACGTTTCTACACTTGTATTTGAATTTTCAAGAGTTAGAAGAATGATATAGAAAATATATTCATGACCTCTTTTCACTCTTGCAAGGAGGTGGACTGACCAATTGTTACACTGAAACTCAGGTTCAATTTAAAAAAAACCAAATTATTTCATTTTGGAGTACACAAACAATAAGTTTACAGAATATAGTTGATATACACTCTTAAATACATACAAGTTACAATGTTTATCTATGGATAATAATAACAAACGAAACTATTCCAGATTCCGATCAAATTTCCACATGGGTAGAGTGTGTGAAACCTGTCCCACGCTATGATATGTCTGGAACATTGCTTATCACGATCCAAAACTGTACTCACTCCCTTTCTTATCTCATCAAATAGCCTGAAAGGACATAGCACATAAAAGGAAAGGACTTAGATGATTTGATGAACTAGAATAATAGGGTTGCTTACTGTTTACATGTCACTAGAGAATTTAATGTATATTTTGTAAATCAAAGGTCCTGGCTGTAGCAATGGTGTTGGCTCTCATCTTTAAAAAAGTAGAAATGGAGGAGGCGCCAACCCAAGAGTTACAGGGGGAGATAACCCAGTATAGCCAGTCTGGGAAAAGGAGCTATTCCAGTTACGCAAGCCCGATGAAACCAGGTATGGTCAAATTTAACTACTTTATTATGTTTAAGCTGCCGAAAGAGATTTCCAAATAGACAAATAACATTAAGTGTAATCTCCTTCCTCATTAAGTGTAATCTATTCTAATATATAGGAAAGGATTGTCCATCCATATGAGGCGCTAGTTTAGCTTAGTAGGTTAAAGCGTTTGCTCGTCGCGCTGTAGACCTTGGTTCGATTCCCGACGTTGGTAAAATGTGTGATGCTGCTGGAATATTGCTAAAAGTGGCAGAAAACCAACCTCAGTTACTTACTTTACCTATGATATATATTTTAATTCATGTTTTTCATTACTTCGATACTTGTTGATGGCAATCTATCACAGATGTGCATTTTATGTTAAAAACAAAGAGAGCTAGCACAAAGATACTGGAATAAGTGATGCATCATCAGAGAGTATACATCTGTTTCAGCACATCGTCGGCCTTATGTTGAAAAGCCACCGGACTTCTCCAACGTGGACAAAGTGAGAAAGTACAGAAAGAAGCAGAACCGTATGGTAGAAATCCTCAAGGACATTGGGAGCTACGTGTTCTATCTTGTCATCATCGCTATCATCTGTTATGAAAACAGAGATGAGAAATCCTTCCTCACAGTGAACAACATCCGTAACATGATGGTGAAGGACAAACACATGGTCGGGACTAATTTCATCAGGGGGTTTGAGGGGGTGAGTGGATATGTATCTTCAAACGTCTGCCTGACACCTTAAATAGTCTTCATTATGAACGAGGGAGTTCGGTTTAACGCCGCTTTTAACAGTATTCCGGTTATATCGCGGCATGTCAGCTTAATGTGGGAGGAAAGCCCAAAGTGATGCAGGTCTCAAACGTTTACCATTTCGGTGAAACCCACGAGCACGGGTATGGTGCTGACAACCTAGAAACATAATCGGGGCGAACCGGGATTCGAACCCACAATCATAGGTTTCTGGCGTGCCCAAGGGACGCAACTCTGCACAGCGAATAGCGGCGCCTTAGACGACTGGGCCACCCGTGCCCCTTCTTCATTATGAACCGTTGCCTTATTGCATCCTGACAACAAAGTAATGGACATATCTCTTCTTGTCCAATCAATTGAGACCGCCTCCGTGGTCTAGTGGTAGAGCGTCCGCCCGCATCATACCAAAAGACGTTAAAAGATGGTACTTGTTGTTACCCTGTCTGGCGCTCGGCATTAAGGGGCTAAAACAAGGACTGGTCGGCTCGGAGTCAGTATACTGTGTCTAAGTGGGGTATTCATGTTAAACTGCGGCATGGTATCTCAGTGAGCACGCAATATAAATCGGCATCAGTCCGGACTAGTACAAGCAGCCACACATACACACACACGTGTATAAACATCGCTATATAAGTGCAATAATCTTGGACGCGACGTTAAACCCATTTCACCTCACCTCACCTCCAATCAATTGAATGACCGAACTGTGTTTAACGTTTCTGTGAACTCAACATACAATGGCTTAATATGGAAGTAAAGACCGAAGTGGCGCAGGTGGTAGAAAAACCATGATACGGATTCAGCGGATCCAGGGACACAATTCGGCATAGTAAATTGTGCCATCCATACCGCTAAATGCAAACTGGATAAGATCGAATCTTGGCTTCATAAATACATAAACAAGTCTGTAAATATACATAAGTGTTCTTAATTCGTTGTGTATGCAATCATATTGCTATGTATATATCATACTGTAACTTGATCTGTCTCAATGTTCATGCCTCGTTGTCCGGATATTTCAAAGTTACCACACGGTCTCGTTAGGTTCGAGATAACGGGGTTCGACTGTATGTTCATAATACTGGCAGTTCCATGGTACAGCTGCAGCTGTTGAGCAAGTGATGAAGTATAACGGTGTGTGTCGTGTTTCCCAGGTGTCTTCGTTTGAGGAGTTCTGGTCCTGGTCAGTCGACCGCCTGGTTCCAGCCCTGTACCTGAAGACCAACTTCAATGGTGACAATGTCACACACAATAAGCTGTCTCTCCTGAGTGACCACGTACACTACAGGGTTGGACCTCCGCGACTCCGACAAGCTAGAGCTCTGCCGGGTAGGTTGGGTACCCTTCTGAATGTGATAAAAATACTTTAGCCGTATATTCTAACATCGAACATATCGTTAGATCATGTGTACTGAATTGCTGCACCTGCAGTTGTATTATAAAAAATACAGAATTGTGTTCCACCATGTGATAATAAATTCCCTGAAGTGGGTGAGTGAGTTGGGTTAAACGCCGCTTTTAACAGTCATATCGCGGCGTGTCAGCTAAATGGGGGAGGAAAGCCCGAAGTGATGCAGGTCTCTGACGTTTACCACTTCGGTGAAACCCACGAGCAGGGGTATGGTGCTGACAAAACTAGAAACATAATCGGGGCGAACCGGGATTCGAACCCACAATCATAGGTTTCTGGCGCACCAAGGGACGCAACTCTGCACAGCGAATAGCGGCGCCTTAGACGACTGGGCCACCCGTGCCCCCAATTCCCTGAAGAACTTGTGAAGTTCCTGGTTAGAGTTGGTCTCCAGCAACCCATGCTTGTCGTAGGATGCGACTAATGGGATCGAGTGGTCATCGTATCCCAAATGCGTTAATCGATGCTCATGATGTCAATCATTGGACTGTCAGGTCTAGACTCGATTATTTACAAACCGCCGTCATATAGCTGGAATATTGCTGAGTGTGGCGTTAAACAACAAACAAACAAAATAACTCATTTCGTGCAGCAATGTCATCAGAAAGTTGGTGTTTAAGATTAACATTTTGTGCATAAATTCGCTTATTCTGATATTTTATACATTTTTGTTTCAGATTCATGCAAAACACAATCCCCTTTGAATCGTCTCATAAAAACCTGCATCGCCGAATATGGATTGACGAACTATGATGACGTAAGCTATGACGTCAAATGGACTCCACTGAACACATCCGGTACAAACAATCCAGTTGGGCCCTGGCTCTACCAGGAAGTCTCACAGCTCAACGGCATCCCATCGGTTGGGTATTTTGCAACATATGGCGGCGGTGGCTATGTTGCTGTACTTGGAAACGATGACGTCACAGCAACAAATATGTTGCTTCACCTAAAAGAAAATCGCTGGTTGGATCGACAAACCAGGGCAGTAATTCTTGAAACCAATGTGTACAACCCCTATGTGAATTTATTCTGTGCTGTATCACTCATGCTTGAATTTCCTCCAACCGGAAGTGCAATAAGCTATGCAAGTATCTCTCCTTTACGAATGTATAGGTATGTTGGGCCAAGCGCTCTATTCATGGTGGTGACGGATCTTATATTCGTGGCATTTACAATATATTTCATAGTGAAACTCGTTCAACAGATGAAAGTGAGAGGGAGAAAGTACTTGTACGACTTCTGGAACTTTGTGGAGTTCCTGATTGTGATGGCAGCTATACTCTGTTGTGCTTTCTATGGAATGCACTTTGTTATGACATCTCTAACACTCTCTGACTTCCAAAAACATCCAGGTTAGTTGAAATAATTTCATCAAGGTGTATTTCCTTAGTGCATTGACATCAGTCTCAAATGTATGATGTGTTAATGTCATTCAGTGTCTATACTCAGCACCATTATTATTGAAGGGTCTAGCGTCAATAGGTCTGATGATTTTGGCAACGGTGATTAACAGCTGAAGAACACGTTGGTTATGCCTATGTCACACTGATTGGTTGATTTTGTGAAAACAGGGAACAAAAGGAAAATGACTTTTAATGACAATGAAAAGTGCAAGATTCGAGGTATTAGAAAATGCTTCCCAAAACGTACGCCAAAACGCAACCAGTGGAAAGGTCCACGCACTTGCAATACATGACAAGTCAAAGTATATGTGGGTATAAAATTGTTCCAGACGCAATGGAGCTGCACTCTTGGCAGTTGTAAATACAATCTATTTTAATATGTTTGTTGTCTTATCTGCGTGAACCGTCAACAATGACGCTGAGTATATACTTGACTCATGAACATTTCCCTTGCACACACTTGTTACCTGGATAGATTTAGCCAGTAAAACATTGGTATTTGTGCCCTTTAATAGTACTTGAGTCATGAAAACAAATATTATGAATTCGACACACCCATTTTGTTTGGAACCTTTTCATTTGGTAGAACCAAAATCAATACAGTAATCTTATTGATTTTGAATGCGAGACATCATTAAATGTCCTGAGGACAATTTGTAGCATTTATGTGTATATAGACAATGAGAGTATAACGATCTGAAGATCTACGTAAGTCTGTGTTACCTAGCGGTTTCGGGTCGAGATGCTCACCGTGAATGTCTTTTTTTGTATCCTTCTATCTTTCCAATTCCATTTCCAGGTGAGTTCGTGAACTTTCAGCGTATCGTCCTGTGGGATGAAGTGTTCAGCTGCATGCAGGGCTTCCTGCTCTTCTTCGCCATGCTGAAACTACTTCGTCTCATCCGATTCAATGCCAAGGTCACGCAACTCAGCACAACACTGAAAAAGTCAGTTGGCCCTGTCGTCAACTTCCTCATGGTCTTCAGTGTTGTATTCGTTGCCTTCACTCAGTTTGCATATATTGTGTTCGGCCCCCAGAGCAGCGAGTACTTCTCATTTCTCACCAGTTTGGAAACATTGTTCTCCATGCTGTTGATGAAGGTGAACGTTGAAGAGGTAATCATGGCTAACAGCATCCTCGGACCACTCTTTCTTTTTACCTTCATCCTCGTCGTTGTCTTCATCCTCCTCAACATGCTGCTGAGTATCCTCAACGAGGTCTTCACGGAGGTCAGACTGGACACGAGATGTCGTCCCGATGACCCTAAGATGGTGGAATTCATGTTTGATGAGTTAAAGAGAATCATCGGTGTTTCACAGGCAGCAAATGGTAGGCCTTTCAAATTCTTGGCGTCTGAGTAGGATTTGTTTGTTAGTTTGTTAACGCCACACTCAGCAATATTCCAGCTATATGACGGCGGTCTGTAAATAATCGAGTCTGGACCAGAGAATCCAGTGATTGACATCATGAGCATCGATCCACGCAATTGGGATACGATGACATGCATCAACCAAGTCAGCGAGCCTGACCACCCGATCCCGTTAGTCGCCTCTTACAAGCAGAGTCGCCTTTTACGGCAAGCATAGGTTGCTGAAACAACTGAGTATGAGGATACAAGTAGCATGGCTTCATTATACAGCATGCAACTATGATTTTGCAGTTGCCATCTCGAAAACCGCATTTTAGCCAGCATTGGCAATTTCAAACTATTCTACTCAACTTTTGATGAGGATAATCAGTTGTGTCAGATGTATTTCAATATACACTTGATACATAATGAAAATCAGTTTTGTGTATCATAGAAAAATATAAAATATCTCTATCACGAAAATGTTAAATAGTTTCAATGGAAACATTTAAAAAGAAAGTTTAATCTTGTAAAATACCAGGAATTAAAACTTGTCCGGCCTGTACCGTTCCCAGTGATATCGGCCCTGTTCTGGGATTTGGTTGGTTTGTTGTTTAACGCCGCACTCATCAATATTCCAGCTATATGACGGCGGTCTGTAAAAAATCGAATCTGGACCAGACAATCCAGTGTTTAATATCATGAGCATCGATCCACGCAATTGGGATCGATGACATGCATCAACCAAGTCAGCGAGCCTGACCACCCGATCCTGTTAGTCGCCTTTTACGACAAGCATAGTCACTTTTTACGGCAAGCATGGGTTGCTGAAGACCTATTCTACCCCGGAATCTTCACGGGTCCCCTGTTCTGGGAGCGTGATTTTCTCCGAAGTACGTTGTTTGGTGAACCGTTTTGTTACTTCTCTTTTTTGTCACTTCAGATCAAAAGGAGAAAGTCAAGGATAGAACAGACACCCTTCAAGTACCCGTGGAACGCTGGCTGGCCGCAGAGAATGACCTTGACCGTTTCTCCCCAGAACCGCTAGATGGGAACAACTACTGGATGCCTCTCCCTCCCCACTCCACTGATCTGTACTATAAGAAATCCGCAAAGTCTCAGCTTAAAGATATATAAAGTTTAATAGCCAAATGTTGGTTATTCTAATCGTCCGGAAATGATCTGAAGAAAGAGTACGCGAGGATTATTTTATAACGGTAATATTTGGTATATCTCTTACGTGTTTGTACTTTGTATATTAGGAGTGAAATACTGTTTTAGAAATTCAAAACAGGAACTCGTGTGGTTATCCTAGTATATCGTAATGTTTTTTTTATATTGTTACAGGCATATACAGTTCTTGATGCATTGGCCTTAATCCATGCCTACAACGATCACTTACAGCAGAATATCATTAGTGTCTTTAGTTGCCGTATACGGTGTTATATTAGTTTAGCAGAAATATATTTTTCTGTTAACCTAATATGACACCGTATACGGCAACGTAAGACACCATAACACATCATTATGCCGAAAACTTTACATTCTCTGGTATCCACATCGCACGTCATGTCAAAATGAAAACCTGACACTTACAAGCGTACGTTGACGTTAAGGGTCAAAGGGAGACTACTTTTCAAACCTTAGAGGCCAAACCTTGTTGACATTTTTAACTTTAATCTTTATCAATAAAGTCACGAACGTGATTTAAAACAACAACAGATTAATGTCCTTGCATATCACAATTAATGATAGTAAAACACAAAACAGTGTCAAATAACGAATTTCGGTACCAGAACTTTCATGTGAAATAGGTGGGTGTTGGAAAATCCAAAATGGCTGTTACGGTATACGGTCTCATAATAGGTCTGTGACAACCATCTTGTATTTTTACTGACAGTATACGGGCTCATGTGGGGTCAGTAGTTCTGCTCTCTGATTGGTCAATCTGACTTTGAGGCATAATAATGCTGAGTGTGGCGCTAAACAACAAATAAACAAACAAACAAACTTAAGATTATTTGGAAAATTTTTGAAACAAATTAAAGATTTAAGTACATTTGTTCCGATGAATGTCCCTATGTAGAGCCCTGCCGAACATGTTCACTGCTTATACTGTGGCTAACCACGTTACTGTTCTTTGTGTTGACGTTACAGGTATAATTGTGTTAACGTTAGAGATCAATGTACAGTGGATATATCTATCTGTGTTGTTATTGTTGAAAGTTGCTTCTAATGTACATAGACAACGTGTTGACTTAAATGGTCAATCTCCGCAAGCCTGTGATAAGAAACTCGATTATGTGTGTGGTAATGAGTATTATGACAAGAAGTCTGTTTCCGTGTGATACTTTTAAGAAACGGCTAAACTGTTAATTAATTAATAAATGTCTAATTCCTAAGAATGTGTCATGTTGGTTCTGCGATCTTTGTCTACAGGATGTCTATCTTAGTCAGTGATGGTTGAAGTACACATTGCGACTCGTGCCCCCTCTCGTGGCGGTTTTTGCGACTGGGTTCCGTCTAAGCGTAATCAGGCATAACTAAAAGAAATGTCAACTCTTTGCGTTATGATTCACGTTTATTTCACCCATATTTCATAAGTATTCCAGATGCTATTTAAAACACATCAGGACTCACATAATTATACAGTATGATTGAACACATATAACAGTCTCTTTGGCGTATTTTTAGATGCAAGACATATGCAAAATGAAAAATTATTCATGATGGATTCTTTGATTAAAGAGCTTAGCCATACGCGCCTTCTGATTAGTTTGTCGTATTATCGCACATAACATTCATCGATTGGGGGACGAGTCTTCTCGCAGATTACGGGAAGGGGCGAGTGATGACGATCGTTTCTAAGCGACTGCCGCAATGGACAATCCCAGCGATGGTGACCGCTGATGTCCTAGCTGTCAAGTACAGCTAACAGAAAGCAGAGAATTTTCAAGCCACAAAGTCAGATATGGCCATACCATCATGGCACATCTCCACCATCCTGAAGCCACCGACTCAGGTTTTAATCACCTTCTAAGACAAGCAATTGAATAATGAACCAACTCGTTCCTGGAGAGCGAACAGTTGTTTTGGCCAGAGATACCAGCTACACTACGGCAGACTGTATATCACCATCCCAGTGAAATGCCTGTACTTTATAGTATAGACTTTTCAGAAAGTCAAAACCGTTGTAGTCTACCACTCTTCTACATGATCGTAGTCTGTTTTCAGTGCGTGTATAGAATTAATGGGCACGCTTTTATTAAATAAAGGGGACCTCAGTACCACAAGAAATATGTCCATTGCACGAATCAGACTACATCATAAGCATGTGTTTATGAATCACTTTCAAATAGTGAAGAAACAAGGTTTCTGTGAAAAGGGGAGTATAGCCTGCACCGCCGGTGGCACCTGTCCCAAACACATGCAAAGGCAGGTCAATGGTTCACCTGTAATAACGCCTGAAAATATGCCAAAATTGCATCAGACTTTATTTTTTGTTATTTAAAAACGTTTTGAATTCTTTACTGACGTCTTGAACCATGATAAAACAAATTTTGGGACAGATCAGATCTGAAAAGTGTTGAAATGTAAACACTAAAGGCAGGAGCTGCTGGAACACTGCTGTTAGAAAGTATAAGTCGGCTAATATCCAAGATACTTATTTAAACAACTGGACCGAGCCGCCTTGTGACAATGTATCTCAATTTTAGTGGTATACGAGTTCCTAGCTACAAAAATAAAATCTGACAAAATTGAATTCGAAAATGAGGTTTGAAAGCTTAGATCAGAAACATACAGGTTATTTTCATGCTACCATGAAAATTACTTTGAATAGATATTAATGCACACAATGCCTGACTTCAATGCATTTCCATAGCTGTATCTTATCACCATCAACTTCTTGAGATTGAATAAATGCAGCCATTTCTTGGAAACAATGGATTGTTCCAATTATGGGTATAGGCATGGATTAGAGTGATATAAAAAAACAAACAGTTTCATTCAATTTATTCTCATTACCAATCACGTTTGTGGTTTTATAACTTACGGAACAATGAAAGAGAAAAACTACAACACTTTGTTTGTTTGTGATAAGTTTTAAATGGTCAGACAGCTACCTACCTCTGACACCATGAACTTGTCTGCTTTTCAAACATCTTCCCAAAACAGATGTCAATTAAGTAAGTCACTGCACAAGCAACAAGTAGGAAGGGGGATCTGGAACTTGCTTCACCCTGAGCAGATGACAGACAACGATGGAGCCGGATTGTCTATACTCCCCCAAGTCCACTTACAATATTTACTTAATTCCAGATAAAATCAAGCAGGTAAGTACTACTTTGCAAAATCTGTTAATAATCACAGTGGTCTCTACCACAGACGGGAATGAAGTGTTGTTATACCGCATTGCGCGTTTGCAGAAGCACTAGTCACAGAGAGACAGTCTGCCTAACAACAGATTAAGAGTCTTTGAATGGCATTTAGAAGTGATACACATATATATATATAACAGAAATTATTGATGTCAGCTTGTGTAATTATGAGGTACTGAACGTTTCTTGATTAATTCTTCATGAGGGGAATGAATGTTAGGATGTTGAGAGCATATATATGTATGTATATATACATGTAAAAACAACAAAAGTAATAACATAACATAGGTTGAAACATCAACAAGTGCAGCTAAAAGTTAATTAGCGCTGGACTAGAGTTAAATAAGTGAGTGAGTGAGTGAGTTTATGCTTTACGTCACATCGGCAATATTTCAGCCATATCGTGACGAGTGTTAAATAAGCATTGACTGGTAATAAGCAATGGAAAAATGAAGAGCAAGGGTCACAACAACGCCAGAGCATGTATATGCCAGATTCCCTGCAACTGTGGACACCAATGCGTTGGAGAAACCCTTAGACCCAACACCAGACACAAAAAGCATCAGACCTCTGTTAAACTACACCAGAAATCCACAATTTCCGAACGCATTAGAGGGAACCAAGACCATACCATCATATGGGAAGCTACCAAGTCCTGTCCAACACCAACAAGTGGTGACAAAGGGAACTACAAGAGGCCATTGACATCAGGAAATACCAGCCACCTGTTGTTATTGCCCATACTAAAATGAAATGGGGTTTTATGTTAGATTCAAGGCAATTGAATTGATAGTGTGTGTGTGTGTGTGTGTGTGTGTGTGTGTGTGTGTGTGTGTGTGTGTGTTTTAGCTTGTATTAGTACAAGCTCGCCAACTGAGATACCATGCCACAGTTTAACATGGATACCAAACTCAGACACACTAAACTGACTCCGAGCCAACAAGTCCAGTCTCTCCTTAATGCCAAGGCAGGGTAACACAAGAACCATCTTTTAACATCTTTTGGTATGATGGGCCAGTGAACAAACTATCAACCTTCCCCTCTCTGGGAAGATACCCCATCGATTACAACAAAGAGGCGATCGGCTACAATTGGACAACCTGTTATATTGTCTGACCAGGCAGATGGTGTGCATTGTACATCAATGGTGTGGATGGCTGCTCTTGTATACAGGCAGTATTTACAGGCAGTGTTAGGAATCAGTTACTCAATGTTCACAATTCAGTTCCATTTGTTTGTTTGTTGTTTTAACACCGCACTCAGCCATATTCCAGCTATATGATGGTGGGCTGTAAATAATCGAGTCTGGACTAGACAATCCAGTGATTGACACCATGAACATCAATCCACGCAATTGGGATACGATGACATGCATCAACCAAGTCAGTGAGCCTGACCAAGTCGCCTTTTACAACATGCATGGGTTGCTGAAGACCTATTTTACCCCAGATCTTCACGGGTCCAAATCGATTCTAACCCATCAATCATGAATCATAATCATTTGTCCTATTTTGTCTGAATTTTCCAGTAATTATGAGTCAAATGATTTGATTTGATATTTCAAGACTATTATTCCAGAAATGGTTGGATAATGATGATGAATGAGTTTATTTCTCCTAATGTTATTATGTACAAATTAAAAGAATTGTATCCACATTCAATTATATCAATGATGGGCACAAACAGATAGATCATCAAGTTGGTTGAGTTTAACAAATCAATCAACAGAGCCTCCCTATATACAGATAGTTGTAAAATAGTTGTAAAATAGTTGTGACATTGCTGATAATGAGTAAAACAATACACGCAACACTCATGATAAAATGGTTTACTCTCACTTTGCCAGCAGGCTGGGGAGATTAACATGTACAGTCCTGTGACTTGCCAACTATAGCCTGTTCTGATTATCTGAGCTCCTTGATGACTTAGCTGTGACCCACTGTGAGCCAAACTTAACTAATGAAGTGAACTGTGTTCAGCTTAACAGATATTAAGCTATATTATATTGTCTTGAAAATGTGTACATCTGTACATAAATGTAATTTTTAATTAATAATTAATAAAAACCTATACTACTACATACATGTTTTGTGTTATATCTACCTACACAGGCTGTAGTCTGGCTTTAGTCAGTCAGTGAAAGTGAAACAGTCTATAGTGTTAATCCCCATTGTTGTAGGGATTATCATGGGCTACTGATTTTTAAACTAGAACAATAGCTGCTGGCAAAGTGAGAATCACTTCCTGCTCCCAAACAGGTTTACTCTATTTTCCATTAGTATTATCTCATTGTCCTGACACAGTTGGTGTTACACCACCCCACTTTCAACCCCAGACTTCATCATGGGTGAACCAGTCTGGAAGAAAGACAAACTCCGAGTTGGGTGCCATTTTCTCACAGTTGACATCCTGCCTCGGTTGCCATCTACACACATAGACAACTCTGAAACAATAGAAACATGTAAATCTGCTTTAACAATTTGCACATAAAATGACTCCAAAATCTAGAAGTTAGTTTCTTTTTAATTAATTTATCTGCCTTGGGAATAACAGAAAAGTTCTCATGTTTTTCTTTGTTTCTTGTTTCATTTTAGATATGAAAAACCAGTCATTATGGAAAGGAAGGAAACACATTATAAGTCCTTCAAATAGAAACTGGGTCTTTAGTTCACTCCAAAAAGAGATCACTAAATATTATTTATGTTACAGCCCTAGTTTCATTGACTCTATGGTGTAAAAATACGTAATCAACATTGTCAGTACTTTATGAGTTTATATGCACTATGTTTCTCAATCACCCGTGAGTACATACAGCCAATATGTAGTGTACTAATGGGGCCATTTATTACTCAAGGAAGTCAAATCAGTTTAACTGTTGCCTCATATTGAAGCAGTGTATAGAGAAGACAGCCACTGCGCTGATATTGAAGCAGTGTGTAGAGTAGACAGCCACAGCGCTGATATTGAAGCAGTGTATAGAGTAGACACAAGACACAGCACTGATATTGAAGCAGTGTGTAGAGTAGACAGCCACAGCACTGATATTGAAGCAGTGTGTAGAGTAGACAGCCACAAGACACAGCACTAATATTGAAGCAGTGTATAGAGTAGACAGACACAGCACTGATATTGAAGCAGTGTGTAGAGTAGACAGCCACAAGACACAGCACTAATATTGAAGCAGTGTGTAGAGTAGACACAAGACACAGCAGTGATATTGAAGCAGTGTGTAGAGTAGACAGCCACAAGACACAGCACTAATATTGAAGCAGTGTGTAGAGTAGACAGCCACAAGACACAGCACTAATATTGAAGCAGTGTATAGAGTAGACAGCCACAGCACTGATATTGAAGCAGTGTGTAGAGTAGACAGCCACAGCACTGATATTGAAGCAGTGTGTAGAGTAGACAGCCACAAGACACAGCACTAATATTGAAGCAGTGTATAGAGTAGACAGCCACAGCACTGATATTGAAGCAGTGTGTAGAGTAGACACAAGACACAGCACTGATATTGAAGCAGTGTGTAGAGTATACACAAGACACAGCACTGATATAGAAGCAGTGTGTAGAGTATACACAAGACACAGCACTGATATTGAAGCAGTGTGTAGAGTAGACACAAGACACAGCACTGATATTGAAGCAGTGTGTAGAGTAGACAGCCACAGCACTGATATAGAAGCAGTGTGTAGAGTAGACACAAGACACAGCACTGATATTGAAGCAGTGTGTAGAGTAGACAGCCACAAGACACAGCACTGATATTGAAGGAGTGTGTAGAGTAGACACAAGACACAGCACTGATATTGAAGCAGTGTGTAGAGTAGACACAAGACACAGCACTGATATTGAAGCAGTGTGTAGAACAGAGAGCCACAGCAGTGATATTGAAGCAGTGTGTAGAGTAGACAGCCACAGCGCTGATATTGAAGCAGTGTGTAGAGTAGACAGCCACAGCACTGATATTGAAGCAGTGTGTAGAGTAGACACAAGACACAGCACTGATATTGAAGCAGTGTGTAGAGTATACACAAGACACAGCACTGATATAGAAGCAGTGTGTAGAGTATACACAAGACACAGCACTGATATAGAAGCAGTGTGTAGAGTAGACACAAGACACAGCACTGATATTGAAGCAGTGTGTAGAGTAGACACAAGACACAGCACTGATATAGAAGCAGTGTGTAGAGTATACACAAGACACAGCACTGATATTGAAGCAGTGTGTAGAGTAGACACAAGACACAGCACTGATATTGAAGCAGTGTGTAGAGTAGACACAAGACACAGCACTGATATTGAAGCAGTGTGTAGAGTAGACACAAGACACAGCACTGATATTGAAGCAGTGTGTAGAACAGAGAGCCACAGCAGTGATATTGAAGCAGTGTATAGAGTAGACAGCTACAGCACTGATATTGAAGCAGTGTGTAGAGTAGACACAAGACACAGCACTGATATAGAAGCAGTGTGTAGAGTATACACAAGACACAGCACTGATATTGAAGCAGTGTATAGAGTAGACAGCTACAGCACTGATATTGAAGCAGTGTGTAGAGTAGACACAAGACACAGCACTGATATAGAAGCAGTGTGTAGAGTAGACACAAGACACAGCACTGATATTGAAGCAGTGTGTAGAGTAGACAGCCACAAGACACAGCACTGATATAGAAGCAGTGTGTAGAGTAGACAGCCACAAGACACAGCACTGATATTGAAGCAGTGTGTAGAGTAGACACAAGACACAGCACTGATATAGAAGCAGTGTGTAGAGTATACACAAGACACAGCACTGATATTGAAGCAGTGTGTAGAGTAGACACAAGACACAGCACTGATATTGAAGCAGTGTGTAGAGTAGACACAAGACACAGCACTGATATTGAAGCAGTGTGTAGAACAGAGAGCCACAGCAGTGATATTGAAGCAGTGTATAGAGTAGACAGCCACATCGCTGATATTGAAGCAGTGTGTAGAGTAGACAGCCACAGCACTGATATTGAAGCAGTGTGTAGAGTAGACACAAGACACAGCACTGATATTGAAGCAGTGTGTAGAACAGAGCCACAGCAGTGATATTGAAGCAGTGTGTAGAGTAGACAGCCACAGCACTGATATTGAAGCAGTGTGTAGAGTTTACACAAGACACAGCACTGATATTGAAGCAGTGTGTAGAACAGAGCCACAGCACTGATATTGAAGCAGTGTGTAGAGTAGACACAAGACACAGCACTGATATTGAAGCAGTGTGTAGAACAGAGCCACAGCAGTGATATTGAAGCAGTGTGTAGAGTAGACAGCCACAGCACTGATATTGAAGCAGTGTGTAGAGTAGACACAAGACACAGCACTGATATTGAAGCAGTGTGTAGAACAGAGCCACAGCACTGATATTGAAGCAGTGTGTAGAGTAGACACAAGACACAGCACTGATATTGAAGCAGTGTGTAGAACAGAGCCACAGCAGTGATATTGAAGCAGTGTGTAGAGTAGACACAAGACACAGCACTGATATAGAAGCAGTGTGTAGAGTAGACACAAGACACAGCAGTGATATTGAAGCAGTGTGTAGAGTAGACACAAGACACAGCACTGATATAGAAGCAGTGTGTAGAGTAGACAGCTACAGCACTGATATAGAAGCAGTGTGTAGAGTAGACACAAGACACAGCACTGATATAGAAGCAGTGTGTAGAGTAGACAGCTACAGCACTGATATAGAAGCAGTGTGTAGAGTAGACACAAGACACAGCACTGATATTGAAGAAGTGTGTAGAGTAGACAGCCACCAGGTGACAAATAGCATTTTCATTTCATAACAGTCACATGTGTTCACGGGTGATAGAGGAATGTAGTGGATATAAACCTGCTGAGCATTGATGATTGGTAATATTGTTTGTTTGTTGTTTAACACTGCACTCAGCAATATTCCAGCTATATGACGGCAGTCTGTAAATAATCAACCAGTGATCGATAGTGTGAGCAACAGTGATGATGACATGCAATCAAATAAGTCTCCGAGTCTGACCGCCAATGCATTCAGATGCCACCTGCATCCAGCCAAGGATAGGGTTCACTTCTAACCACTGGGAGGTGAGGAGTAATAAAAGGAGGAATAAAATGGATGAAGAAAATATGTCATCTTTGTCAGCTTCTACACAAACCTTGGATCATCTGTGGTAACTGTCTGCTTGACAAAATCAAGGAACTTGTCAAGAAAGTTGAAGCACACGGCTGCATTCCATGGATTCCGAATTCCCTGAAATAGGACAACTTCTTGTTACCCAAGTCAAATTATTAAGGTTAAATCAGTGCCTAAAATGTTGCTAATTCCAAAGACAGATGTGAGAATAATACATCCATAATGAAGTGCTACTTTGTTTTCTTGTAACAGATTACTTTTGGCCATGACCATGTCTGCTATTCTGTGTGTGTTCGTGAATGTGTGTGTGTGTGTGCGTGCGTGTGTGAGTGCGTGCGTGTGTGCATATGTGTGTGTCTGTGTGAGTGTGTGTTTTAGTGTGTGTGCATGCATGTCAGTGTGTGTGCCTGTGGTAATATGTGTGTGTCTGTGTGAGTGTGTATGTTAGTGTGTGTGCATGCATGTCTGTCTGTGTGTTTGTGGTAATGTGTGTGAGTGTGTGTGTGCATGCATATCTGTGTGTGTGTGTGTGCATGTGTCTGTATGTGTGTGTGTTAGTGTGTGTGCATGCATGTCTGTATGTGTGTCTGTGGTAATGTGTCTGTGTGTGTGTTCGTGAATGTATGTCTGTGTGCGTGCATATCAGAATGAGTGTCTGTCTGTGTGTTTCTGGTAATGTGTGTGAGAGTGTGTGTGTGTGTGCATGCATATCTGTGTGTGTGTTCATGTGTCTGTATGTGTGTGTGTTAGTGTGTGTGTATGCATGTCAGTATGTGTGCCTGTGGTAATGTGTGTGTGTCTGTGTGAGCGTGTATGTTAGTGTGTGTGCATGCATGTCTGTATGCATGTCTGTCTGTGTGTTTGTGGTAATGTCTGTGAGAGTGTGTGTGTGTGTGTGCATGTGTCTGTATGTGTGTGTTAGTGGTGTGCATGCATGTCTGTATGTGTGTCTGTGGTAATGTGTGTGTGTCTGTGTGAGCGTGTATGTTAGTGTGTGTGCATGCATGTCTGTATGCATGTCTGTCTGTGTGTTTGTGGTAATGTCTGTGAGAGTGTGTGTGTGTGTGCATGTGTCTGTATGTGTGTGTTAGTGGTGTGCATGCATGTCTGTATGTGTGTCTGTGGTAATGTGTCTGTGTGTGTGTGTTCGTGAATGTATGGCTGTGTGTGTGTGTGTGTGTGTGCATATCAGAATGTGTCTGTGTGAGTGTGTGTGCATGCATGTCAGTATGTGTGTCTGTGGTAATGTATGTGTATCTGTGTGAGTGTGTGTGCATGCATGTCTGTATGTGTGTCTGTGGTAATGTGTGTGAGTGAGTGTGTGTGTGCGCATGCATGTTTGTGTGTGTGCATGCATGTCTGTGCATGTGTCTGTATGTTTGTGTGTGCATGCATGTCTGTCTGTGTGTGTGTGGTAATGTGTGTGAGTGAGTGTGTGTGTGTGTACATGCATGTCTGTGTGTGCATGTGTATGTATGTGTGTATGTGTGTGTGTATGTAAATGTGTGTGCATGCATGTCTGTATGCATGTGTATGTGTGCATGCATGTCTGTGCATGTGTCTGTGTGTGTGTTAGTGTGTGTGCATGCATGTCTGTGGTAATGTGTGTCTTTCTCTGTGTGTGGTAATGTTAGAGTGAGTGTGTGTGCATGTGTCTGTATGTGTGTGTGAGTATGTATGTTAGTGTGTGTGCATGTGTGTGTATGCGTGTGTGTGTGTGCATGTGTCTCTGTGTGTGTTTGACTGTGTATGTTAGTGAGTATGTATGTTAGCATGTGTGCATGCATGTGTGTGTGTATGCGTGTGTGTGTGTGCATGTGTCTGTGTGTGTTTGAGTGTGTATGTTAGTGTATGCGTGTGCATGTGTGTGTGTGTGGGTGGGTGGGTGCATGTGTCTGTATGTGTGTCAGTGTGTGTGCATGCATGTCTGTATCTCTGTATGTGTGTGTGAGTATGTATGTTAGTGTGTGTGCATGTGTGTGTATGCGTGTGTGTGTGTGCATGTGTCTCTGTGTGTGTTTGACTGTGTATGTTAGTGAGTATGTATGTTAGCGTGTGTGCATGCATGTGTGTGTGTATGCGTGTGTGTGTGTGCATGTGTCTGTGTGTGTTTGAGTGTGTATGTTAGTGCATGCGTGTGCATGTGTGTGTGTGTGGGTGGGTGGGTGCATGTGTCTGTATGTGTGTCAGTGTGTGTGCATGCATGTCTGTATCTCTGTGTCTGTCTGCGTGTGTGTCTGTGTGTGTCTGCATGTGTAGGGAACATGACACAGTGTGAAACTCTACCTTCACCATGTCAGGTATTTTTAGTGTTGGGAACTCCTCAAGCCTGTGAACTATTCCATCATCATCTCGGAATCCACAGATGATCTTCTCAATCCCAACAAGGAAACTCTGGGCCCACCACTTGATGAGCTTGTACCTGGACAAGGAAGAACACAGACTGCTCATCAGACGGGATTGTAGCAACGTGTCTTCATCGTTTCTCAAGAATCATCCCAAACTGGCTTCCACAGGAGACATGGCTTGTGTGAGATCATTTTGAACACCATTGTGACATCATATCAAATCAACTCGCAATCAAATGACATCTCTAACCTCTCTGCCACTGAAACATGGCTAGCTGTACTTTTTACACTTAGGACACTGTTTACAAACTGACAAAATTGGAAGAAAGATTTTGGATGATAGATAAAATTTAACCCTCTTGTTTTTTTATATCAGTTATCATTGTTCCCATTGACTTTTGAAAGTCCCCCTAATTTTTGTCAGTCCCAACTTTAAGCAAATATGAAAAAATAAAAAAACTACCTGTTTTTAATTCTTTAACATCATGTTCAATGCAACGACGTCATCTCTGAAGTAACTTACATCAACATGTCATTTACATAAAGTTCAGTCACATTTTTCGCTTTTTTTGGTTAAATTTTTCAAGCTAAAATTGCTACAAATATATAGTTAACCTCGAAACAAAGCAAAATGTGATTTGCTTGCACTATAAATAGACAAGTGGAAACCCTGATGGTAACAGACTAGCTGACTTGATTCGAAACATATACTTATATGAATATAGACAATGTTTTGTTCAAAAACAAAGATTTATGAGGTACTTTCTTTGCCAGTCCACAGGGACTGGCAGTCACATGAGTTAGCCTAATTGTACCGGTAAAAGACAGGTAATTACCAGTAAATGGGAACACTGGTTACATTACAACACTTGTTGACAAAATTTTAAACTCCTTAAAAGTAAGCCTCAGAGTTCAAACTTGTATTGACTCATGTAGATATATTTTACATCCAAAGACACTCAGGTAAGATTCTCCATTTATGCCATGGCTTTCAATGTCAGTACCCAAAAAAAATGTACAATGATGTATCTGACTTTTGTAATGTTACACAAGACATCTGAGATTTATTGTAGGCAATGCAAAGTTGTACCAGGTATCCTCTCAAAACAATGAATCTGTGTTTTGTCATGTACTAGGCCATCTGTGTGACTACTGGGACGTTATACCATGTTTCCTTGTTCTCTCTTATACCACATATCGGACTCTGATATTGTTTGTTTGTTGTTTAATGACGCACTCAGCAATATTCCAGCTATATGACGGCAGTTTGTAAATAATTGAGTCTGGACCTGACAATCTAGTGACTGACATCATGAGCATCATTCCACGTAATTGGGATACGATGACATGCATCAACCAAGTCAGCGAGCTTGACCAATCCTGTTCGTTACCTCTTATGACAACCATAGTCGCCTTTCACCGCGACCAGCATGGGTTGCTGAAGACCTATTCTATCCCTGATCTTCAAGGGTCGTGATATTGTTAGGACTTGAACGATTGATTGAATAATTCAATCTTGACAGTCTGCACATATATTTATCGATTATCAATCTTCTGTCAGATGCTTATTAAACACAATGTTGAAATAAAACAAGTATTCAAACCTGTGAAAGTTTTCCCTCTGTCTCGGATTGTCCATCTCTCGGGATGTCTTCAACTCTACATACTTGTTCTTGGAGCTTAGCGTCGGATCAACACAGTCCACCTCTCCTCCGAATACTGCCAACAAAGAAATACAGTCCAAAGATTTGTTTTTCGTTTGTTTGTTGTTTAACACCACCCTCAGCAATATTCTAGCTATATGACAGAGGTCTGTAAATAATCGAGTCTGTACAAGACAATCCAATGATTGACATCATGAGCATCGATCCACGATTGAGATACGATGAAATGCATCAACCTAGTCAGCTAACCTGACCACCAGATCCCGTGCGTCACCTTTTACAACAAGCATAGTCGCCTTTTACAGCAAGCATGGTTTGCTGAAGACCTATTCTACCCCAGATCTTCATGGGTCTAGTCCAAAGAACCTGTGTCACAGCAACAATTCCTGTCAGGTTTACCAGTACATTCTTTATTCATGTGATGGCCAATTCTATTCTTAAACAGAAAGCAAGGCCCAACTATGGTATTCTGTTCAACTTTCACGTCACCTTTAACTAGAAAGGTGTTTGTATTACATCCAAAAACAGAAGCAGCCACATGCCCATGTTTTTTTCCTGAATGTCTCAAAGTTGCCACCAGAAAAATGCATCATGAACCATTTTGACTTTTGAAATCAGGCGACAGCTTTAGTCATCTTCCATGGTGTCAACTGCAGTGCAATTTTGTCCGATGCCTCTCGGTACCCTAAGTAAGCACTTTCAGTCAAATGACATCACTTCCGAATAAATAACAACTCATTGACATGCAGCATGCACAGGTATGATACTGACAAACCTAGAAACATAATAAGGGCAAATCTCTGATGTCAATCCTGTGCACCTTTTTCATTTTTTTTATTTTCTTATCTTAGTCAAGAAACACTTGTAAAGCAATATTTCAAAATGGCCTAACCTCGTAATAACTGGTATCCTGATGGTCCCTGTTATGCATGAAGTCAGTTCACTGCACAATACATGCATGCAAATGTTCATCTTCCTGAGACAAGGGAGTTAACTGACTGTAAAAGTCCAGTTTCAACCCTTGCCGAACTAGGCTGGAATTATGGAGTTATATTTTGGCTGGACTAACGAGTCTTTGCATTGTCCAATCAAAATTGATATTCGGTTCACAAACAACATGGCGACTGCCGTGCAGATTTCGGTCGATTGCAGGATTTGCAGAGCTTGTGTATTAGGAACTGGGCGTCAACAGACGTTTTACTAATGTTTTCATGTTTTTAATCAAGATGCTCAAATGATTTGATGTACATGTACCATTTTATTACAATAAAGATCTTGATTATTGATCAGATTGTCTGGACTGGGCGCCGCCATTTTGTTTAAAAACAATGCAAGTGAAAGGAGAGGTCGAATCTGATTAGTCAATAGGAGGGACATAGAAGGGATATAACTCAAAAAAGACACTTGTGGCGCTACGATCGAGCCACAAAATTCCAGCCGAGTTCGGCAAGGGTTGAAACTGGACTTTTATAGCCAGTAAACTCCCTTGGCTTGGGAAGATGGCATCTGTTATTGTCTCCTCACTTGTGAGGGATCCTAAGATGCATAGTTACCTAGTGAGTGTTTATTCAGCCTGGTTCTCACCACTGAGCAGAATCCTTCATTGTTGTTAACCGGAACGCTGGTGTCTGGGCTGCCCCCTTCAACATCTGTCAAAACAGTCGAACACATACACAACTTGTGAAGTTTTCCTACACCATGCATGCTAGTAAACAAATACCTTCAGCTTAATGCCAACTCCAACCTCAAACCAAATTAAGGTTATTGCCTAAATAATAAAGAACCTAATGCATTTCTGAAACCACAAACTCCAATTCCTCCCAACACTTAAACACAAAAATCATATGCAATTTTGCTGTAATGACATCACTTCCAGTGTAACGGCATGTCAGATTGATTATAGGAGGGAGGCCCAAAGTGGTGCAGGTCTTTGACGAGACAAGCTCAATGCCAGAAAGTACTATACCTCTACCTACCGTTAAAAAAGTAATAGGCACCGGACATCATTAATGGCATCAACTCCGGACAGGGAAAATACATGTCATATTATGACATGTATTATGTGATTATCTTTAGTGATTGGTTGTAAAAGATCATGTGACGGGGTGACCTAGTGTGGTCGTTGACATATTATTGAGGAAATAAAGAATAAATAAAGCAGTTGAATGGGAACCAACTTTTGTCATTATGGACCTACAGAATCAAAGCCACAACGATTCCTTAATTCCCATATATATGCAGTACCTCTAAAGGGGCACCAGGCTCTGGTAGCATAGTGGTTAAAGCGTTCGCTTATCACCCCGAAGACCCGGGTTCGATTCCCGACATGGGTACAATGTGTGAAGCCCATTTCTGGTGTCCCACACAGTAATATTGCTGGAATATTGCTAAAAGCGGCGTAAAACCATACTCACTCACTCACTCTCACTACTATTCACGATACATGTAATATTGTGTTGTGTCACTATCACAATACATGTAATATTGTGTTGTGTTACTATCACAATACATGTAATATTGTGTTGTGTTACTATCACGCTATATGTAATATTGTCTTGTGTTATTATCACGATAGATGTAATAGTGTATTGTGTTACTATCACGATACATGTAATATTGTATTGTGTTACTATCACGATATATGTAATATTGTAATCATTACCAAATCGTTGTAATACTATGGGTATTACATACCGAGCATCTTCCTGAGGCAAGCGAGTTAACCGACTATAGAAGTCCAGTTTCCACCCTTGCCGAACTAGGCTGGAATTAGGAGTTATATTTTGATAGACTAATGAGTCTATGCATAGACCAATCAAAATCACATAACGAAATCAACATCCAGTTCATAAACTGCGTCAATAGATACTTTCCAAATCTTTTCATGTTTTTAATCAAGGTGCAAAGGTGATTGGATGCATTTTGTGAAGTAAGACCTTTTTATTACAATTTAGATCTTGATTATTGATTAGATGGTCTTCACTGGGTGCTGCCATTTTGTCTGAAGCAAATGCAAGTGAAATCAGAGTCGGCATCTGATTGGTCAATAGGAGGACTGAGGAGGACTGAGTATGGTTTTACGCCGCAGCAATATCATGGGCTTACATATTTTAGTCAATAGGAGGAACATAGAAGGGACATAACTAGTAATAGCCACTGGTGGCGCTACGATCGAGCAAGGGTGGAATCTGGACTTTCACATTACGTTAACTGCCTTGCCTCAGGAAGATGCATAGCAAGTGACTTAATTGGGTTTAATGCTGCACTGAACATACTGAACAGTATTCATTACATCACCATGGCATGTGAAGGTATGTTAGTTTTTGGTGTGAGGAAACCTGAGTGCTGCACAGGTATATAACTTTGGTAAAACTGTGAGCACCAGAATGTTGCCAGCTGACCAAGGATCATAATCAGGACAAGTCATTGATTCGTTATTGCATATGGATGTACCTGAAGTTAGATACTGCTCAAACTTCCACCCCCCGTAACAGATCTGGTCCTGTCGCTCTGTGGTTGTGTCTCGCTGGTGTTTCTTCTCCTCTGTCTCAAATTCACATAAATAGTATGTCCCTTTGAACAATGTGACAGCAATGATCCATCCGTCCCGGCTCTCATATTGTGTACACAAAAGCCTGGTCAGCAGTCCCCGCCAACACACGAAGTCTGTATTAAGACTGTAACAATCAAATACAGAAAACACTTTAGCAAACACATTTTTTGCAAGATCCTACCATAACACTGCCAGACCTTTAATCGTCCATTCCCTATGTCTCAAAAGGGGCCTATGCTCTAGTGAATGAGTCCTTGCCAATTTGATGCAAGTAATAAAACCACACACTTCTGCAAACTCAAAATCAAGATGAGCTGTTTCTAACTTGGACTACCGCTCGTGGCAATGTTGAGAGATTTCCCGAGGCAATAGAAGACAGTGTAGAACTGAGACATTTGTTTTGATAAGTGGAGCAAATTCTGTTGTAAATTCAATAGAAGCTTTGTTTTGGTGCCCTGGCATAAACATTGTCTGCCTCATCCTCAGTAGCAAAATTTAATCGCCTCTGTCTGTTTTTACATAGATATTCCTGGGGAAGGTGAATTCCCACTGTAGCCAATTCATCTTCAGTGTCCCAGTCGGCTATTTCTGCAGGGGTAGAGCCCATGACGCATATGTGCTATGATTTTGGTAATGCCCATGTCAGAATCATCATAACACTTAGGTACATATATATGTAGGTTAAGACATCGTCCTAAAATGATGCATCTGATCGTCACGTGACATCATACTGACGTTCATCGGGAAAAGAAAGACAGTGACCACATGATGACAGTAATAGTGTTCATCTAAGGGAAGTCACTCACTACCATCAAAATTGAAAAAATATATTGGCTTGTCCATCACCATGATCACTCTTCATGTGCAAAGTCAAAAGAAGAAAGATGTTTATTTTCAATTTACTGCTATTGTTGGTTTGCACAGACATGAATGGATGCACATGTACTCTGTAGAACATCTGAAGTAGACACTTGATAGGACTATCTTTCCACAATCATGACATCTAAGAATTGACTATCATACATTCATGTTACCAGTGGTTTTACCAGGAACATCGAAATGAATAGTCCACCAGTGCTTACATCATTTCCTTAACAGTCATGTGAAAAACATATGAATGTCTAATCGTCAGTTTTGTTGTCATGTTATGATGTATCTTGACACTCTTCAGATTGGAAATCTTGACATTATAAGTTAGTCCATAATCAAGACTTTATTACAGACAAGCATGCATTGGTAAAAGGTAAGGAATAAATATGTCATGATCATTGATAATATTAATATTCCTCTCAAATTATAGTCAATCAATTGTTATGTTTATCACTGTTGTGTTTGCATCACATGTAAAAACAGGAACAGCTCCATCCCAAATAATAAGGATATACCTGATATGACAAGTTGTACAAGCATCATGTGGTTGAAAAAATAAGTGCATTGGTGGTAAAAGAAAAAAGTCGAAACCTTAAGGATATACCTGATATGATAAGATGTACAAGCATCATGTGGTTGAAAAATAAGTGCATTGGTGGTAAAAGAAAAAAGTCGAAACCTTAATGCTTCCCAATGTACATGGTTGTGCTTAGTTAATGTCAGTTTTTATTGTGGTAGATCTACATAAAAGTCGTGCAATGTGTAGTTTACGACCTTGCCTTGTGATACTTTGTGACTGAGTGTCTTGATCTGCATCTTTAGTTTTTGTTGTTTTTATTTGGAATTTCATCTTGTTTTCAACGACCCACTTGATTAAGTCGTCAAGATATTCCTTCTTATCTTCATCCTTCCGTATGAAATTGGACCACCCATGTGTAAGATCGTAGTTAACCCGATTAATATTTGCTGGCGGAACATAAAAACGTATTTGACTTCTATCAGACCGGAACTGTCTCCGAGAATCTTGAGAGAAGTAGCCATATTCCTCGGGGATTCTGAAGAAAGGAAAAGCCTTATTGAACAACTGATCCCTTGGTTGTGTGCGAAATGCATGACACCGGATACCTTCCGCCATCTTTTAAAGGGGGCGCAAGTAGGTCACAAAATGTGCGCGAACTACTTCCTTAGCAACCAAGGCGTCTCGATTATCGCCGCCATTTAACTGCCGCTACAAGTATCCTTACCTGTTTACACTGACTTCTTTAGCCCTTGGATCCCCGTTTTATTATCTTCTTTAGGGTTAGGGTAAGTTTCGCGGCCTTCGGCGAATGATGATTTCATCATCTCTAGCGTGTGGGTTATAAACACGTCGAATAAGTTCCAGAAAACCTTCAAATTTATCTTGTCTTTGATCTAAGTATTTTCTGCGCACACACAATTCCTCAAAATATGAACAGTACATGTCAGTGGTTGTTCCCGTTTTGGGTAGTGATCTCTTCAGTGCCCCCCACGATGATTCTATAGTGTTGGTGTGGGCGCCTGTAGGCCTAAATGGGTCTTTGAAATTGAGAGAGTGATTTACTGTTAAATGTTCAAAATCTTCATCTTTCAAACAAGTATACGCTCTCCAACAATCGCTAATGATTGCAGTGCCTGGTCTTATATGTTTCTTTATAATCGCAATGAGTGTGGCTGAACTACGTTCCTCGACCACCTGAAAAAAACAACGTTTTGAGTCTCTCTCAATTCCCCCAAACACCCACTTTCCCTCAACTCTCTTTCCTTTTCCCAAATTTGCTTTCATCTATCTCTACAATCTTCCCTTCTCCACCGATCACTTCACTGTCCTCGTCTGCCACGCACACACATACTCGCAAGGTTGAGTTTGCTGCCCTCAAACCAGGAATTGTGTCTTATTGACAGTTTTTTTCCACAAGATTTCCTGTTTTATTTCCAACAGAGCTCGTCGGTACTGTATGATTTGTCTTTGCACAAATAAAAGGATCCTGTCCGGCACTTGGCACAAATTTGTCCGTCCCAATTTCCAATAATGTTATTTACACGCAAATACCTAAAAAATACTTCTTTTTCTCTCGTTATTCCGTATAGTTCAAACAGCTTCATGTCAAAGAGACGCTCATGGTAAGCTCTGAGTAGTAGCTTTACCAAATAAGGCACTTACTATGCACTGACGTCAGAATTGAATTGACAAATCAGGAACCACTTACCTTCAGAATTTTCTCACGGTCCGATGTTCAGCATCCCATAATTCCACAGTAAGAAAAACATACAAAGTCATTACATTTTTCGTTTTTATTCAATTTCAACAGAATTAAAATCTAGTTTTACTAGACCGGAAGTGGTGCATAGAGCTCAAATTTGATGTTAATTTTTACCTAGTTTTCTCCGTTTTCGTTTTCTCTTTTTTTTTGCGCGTGATTATCCTAGTATATTAATATCACGTGATCTAATCCAATATGAAAGGTAGGTATCCGGTGTAATGCATGTGTACTACGCTTTAAAGTCCTGTTATCTCCTTTGGATTCACAAGACATCGTTCATTTCATTTGCAATACCCTCCATATGACAAAATCGGATGTTTTCATTCTGAAAGAAACTGCATCTGTCACAACTAATTGTTTATTGTCTCATAACATTGCGATATGACAGTTGTCGTAATTAATAAGTATTGTACACGACATTATATCTGTATAAAGGTACCATATGATAACATTTATAAATTATTTTACGAAATCGTATACATTATTAATGTTGCCATAACTGTCCTTTTGAAATCATAGCTAACATGTGCACCTGAAAGCAGTATACTGTTAACCGGAAACACTAGCGAACAAGGTTAAGGTCATATCTTAACCAATCATCTGTACGCAGTTATTACCAAGATGTCAGCCTCCTGTTGCCGTTGAATTGAGCAAGTGGTTGTTTACCGGTAACCTAGTTTATTTAAACAGATGGCCCAAAACTACGTAAATATTCGTCTGTAATTGAAGTTTGTACCACCGATCACATTTCAAAGGCTGCAGTTATTTTGTTATGTTTCTGGAACGAATGAATTATCACATTTTGAAACTTAGTAAACAACATATTTACTTCGACTGTCTGCGCAAGCTCAGTGACAGAATGACCTAGCACAGTTCTGTGTCGAGGGCATCAGGCGGAGAAGTGAGATTTCGGTCAGCGTTTTATCTGTTGACAATCTCTTTATTCAAAGTGTGTTTTATTTGACTGGTTGACTTGTACGTCATGTGTCACTTAAACAGTTACGTCGTATAATGAACGTTTGGCTAATTGAAAATCATGGTGTGTAGGCAGTAACAAATCTGTCATCTGAGCGATAGTTGTCGAACTGAAACTGATTATATTTATCACAGAAATGGGGTGATGGGATGGGTTGGTGGACAGTTCTGGCAAAATATTCTGAAAAGAATAATCCAGATCTTGGTTACTTGTTTCTCTGGGTGCTGACTGAAATGTCCTTTTGCCAAAACGGAACTGTTTTTAGCTTTCAAAACGACCCCATACGTCATTGGTGAAAATGACAACTAAAAGAGACAACAGATACGATTGAGATTGGACCTTATATGTTTAACCTTGTCACTCAATATTTCAAAAAATTGTAAAATATCATAGATCATTTTAACAAATTGTTACACTTTACTAATAAAGTGTTATCCCAGATATAACATTTGTTACATCTGATCATTTCTAAAAAGCATTGAGTGGTCATAGCTTTCGGCAGTGAGAGCTGTGCCACTTAACACTTCTCAGAGACGTACATAAAGTACGTGATCTAGACTACCAGTTGTCAAACTTCCATTTTGTGGAAGCCCCAGTGACTGAGTGGGTTAGATCGCTGACTTTGTGTGCTGGTGATTAGGTTCCTCACTTTTAGAGTGTGGGTTCAAATCCTGGATATGACTCAACTAAACAAAAGTACTTGAATTTGTACTTTACGAAGAAAATGTTATCCCAAATACAGCCAAATTCCGTTTATACAACATCATTGGTTGCACAGCAATAGAAACTAACTGTTTTAGTCCACTAGTCCTTATAATGATAACATGTAGCAAAACCCTTAAAATGGCAAATTTGTACTAGTCCTTATGATATCTTAACTATTGGGCACTTTTGCAAGGACAACAGGACTAGTGCCAAGTTCTAACACTGTTGCATATGATTATGTCGGATTAACGAGTATGTCGGATAAACGAAATTAAGTAGTGACAATGTTCGTGATCGAAAATCAGACAACTGTACAATAGGTAACGGTACAAACACCCCGTCTCTGCCGTTTAAAATGTATTGTCATCAAAATGTCCTTTGAAAATCGACACAATATTTTTCAAAGTATTCAAAATAAATTTTGACAAACATTTCTCATAGGTTCTTCACTTCTTTTCAGGATTTAGTTTGTCTTCACTACAATCCTCCATCATCCCTCATATGGTCAATACTTCATGGTCTTGTATACACCACATTCCTCCATCATCCCTCATATGGTCAATGCTTTATGGTCTTGAAAACACTACATTCCTCGATCATCCCTCATATGGTCAATACTTCATGGTCTTGTTTACACCACATTCCTCCATCATCCCTCATATGGTCAATGCTTTATGGTCCTGTTTACACCACATTCCTCCATCATCCCTCATATGGTCAATGCTTTATGGTCTTTAAAACACTACATTCCTCCATCATCCCTCACATGGTCAATTCTTCATGGTCTTGAAAACACTACAATCCTCCATCATCCCTCATATGGTCAATACTTCATGGTCTTAAATACACCACATTCCTCCATCATGCCTCATATGGTCAATGCTTTATGGTCTTGTTTACACCACATTCCTCCATCATCCCTCATATGGTCAATGCTTTATGGTCTTGTGTACACCACATTCCGCTGTCATCCCTCATATGGTCAATGCTTTATGGTCTTGTTTACACCACATTCCTCGATCATCCCTTATATGGTCAATGCTTCATGGTCTTGTTTACACCACATTCCTCCATCATACCTCTTATGGTCAATGCTTCATGGTTCTGTAAACACCACATTCCTCAATCATCCCTCATATGGTCAATACTTCATGGTTCTGTAAACACCACATTCCTCCATCATCCCTTATATGGTCAATGCTTCATGGTCTTGTTTACACCACATTCCTCAATCATCCCTCATATGGTCAATACTTCATGGTCTTGTAAACATCACATTCCTCGATCATCCCTCATATGGTCAATACTTCATGGTCTTGTTTACACCACATTCCTCCATCATCCCTCATATGGTCAATGCTTTATGGTTCTGTATACACCACATTCCTCCATCATCCCTCATATGGTCAATGCTTCATGGTCTTGTTTACACCACATTCCTCCATCATCCCTCATATGGTCAATACTTCATGGTCTTGTATACACTACAATCCTCCATCATCCCTCATATGGTCAATGCTTTATGGCCTTGTATACACCACATTCCGCTGTCATCCCTCTTATGGTCAATGCTTTATGGTCTTGTATACACCACATTCCGCTGTCATCCCTCTTATGGTCAATGCTTTATGGTTCTGTATACACTGTATACCTCCATCACCCCTCATATGGTCAATGCTTTATGGTCTTGTATACACCACATTCCTCCATCATCCCTCATATGGACAATGCTTTATGGTTCTGTAAACACTACATTCCTCCATCATCCCTCATATGGTCAATGCTTCATGGTCTTGTTTACACCACATTCCTCCATCATCCCTCATATGGTCAATGCTTTATGGTTCTGTTTACACCACATTCCTCCATCATCCCTCATATGGTCAATGCTTCATGGTCTTGTATACACCACATTCCTCCATCATCCCTCATATGGTCAATGCTTCATGGTCTTGTTTACACCACATTCCTCCATCATCCCTCATATGGTCAATGCTTTATGGTTCTGTAAACACTGCATTCCTCCATCATCCCTCATATGGTCAATGCTTTATGGTCTTGTATACACCACATTCCTCCATCATCCCTCATATGGTCAATGCATTATGGTTCTGTATACACCACATTCCTCCATCATCCCTCATATGGTCAATGCTTCATGGTCTTGTTTACACCACATTCCTCAATCATCCCTTATATGGTCAATGCTTCATGGTCTTGTTTACACCACATTCCTCCATCATACCTCTTATGGTCAATGCTTCATGGTTCTGTAAACACCACATTCCTCAATCATCCCTCATATGGTCAATACTTCATGGTTCTGTAAACACCACATTCCTCGATCATCCCTCATATGGTCAATGCTTCATGGTCTTGTTTACACCACATTCCTCAATCATCCCTCATATGGTCAATACTTCATGGTCTTGTAAACATCACATTCCTCGATCATCCCTCATATGGTCAATACTTCATGGTCTTGTTTACACCACATTCCTCAATCATCCCTCATATGGTCAATACTTCATGGTCTTGTTTACACTACATTCCTCCATCATCCCTCATATGGTCAATACTTCATGGTCTTGTAAACATCACATTCCTCGATCATCCCTCATATGGTCAATACTTCATGGTCTTGTTTACACTACATTCCTCCATCATCCCTCATATGGTCAATACTTCATGGTCTTGTAAACATCACATTCCTCGATCATCCCTCATATGGTCAATGCTTCATGGTCTTGTTTACACTACATTCCTCCATCATCCCTCATATGGTCAATACTTCATGGTCTTGTAAACATCACATTCCTCGATCATCCCTCATATGGTCAATACTTCATGGTCTTGTTTACACCACATTCCTCCATCATCCCTCATATGGTCAATGCTTTATGGTTCTGTATACACCACATTCCTCAATCATCCCTCATATGGTCAATACTTCATGGTCTTGTTTACACCACATTCCTCAATCATCCCTCATATGGTCAATGCTTTATGGTTCTGTATACACCACATTCCTCAATCATCCCTCATATGGTCAATGCTTTATGGTTCTGTATACACCACATTCCTCAATCATCCCTCATATGGTCAATGCTTCATGGTCTTGTTTACACCACATTCCTCCATCATCCCTCATATGGTCAATACTTCATGGTCTTGTATACACTACAATCCTCCATCATCCCTCATATGGTCAATGCTTTATGGTCTTGTATACACCACATTCCGCTGTCATCCCTCTTATGGTCAATGCTTTATGGTCTTGTATACACCACATTCCGCTGTCATCCCTCTTATGGTCAATACTTCATGGTCTTGTATACACCACATTCCGTTGCCATCCCTCTTATCATGTTAGAGTCAATGCTTTATGGTCTTTTATACACCACATTCCTCCAACATCCCTCATATGGTCAATGCTTCATGGTCTTGTATACACCACATTTCTCCATCAACCCTCTTATGGTCAATGCTTCATGGTCTTGTATACACCACAATCCTCCATCATCCCTCATATGTCAATGCTTCATGGTTTTGTATACACAACATTGTATCAAAGACTATGAAGCACTGACAATGGAACTAGTTCATTTAGTGAGATGACCCGTGAAGATTCCGGGGTAGAATAGGTCTTCAGCAACCAATGCTTGCCGTGAAAGGCGACTATGCTTGTCGTAAAAGGCGACGAATGGGATCCGGTGGTCAGGCTCGCTGACTTGGTTGATACATGTCATCGATCCCAATTGCGTGGATCGATGCTCATGATATTAATCACTGGATTGTCTGGTCCAGACTCGATTATTTACAGACCGCCGTCATATAGCTGGAATATTGCAACCAACCAACCAACCAACCAATTTAGTGAGACCTGACAGAAAGAAATACTTTGCCCCCAAATAATTAACTTTAAAACATGTTAAAATACTTCAATGTTAATAATAATTTCTGATATATGTTCTATTATCCTCAGAGATGAGTCGCAAAAGAACACTTCTGCCAGATATATACAAACACAAGAAAAAATGTGTTCGACCAGCTCAGTCTGAAGAAAATGGAGATTTCAGTGACAATGCCCTCAGTAAGTATTTATTAGATTTCATCTTCCATAGTGTTGTGTGTGTTAACAGAATATAAGCTGAGTATATTTGATAATCATGTTAGCGTGATGGTTTTGCAAGAGCTTGTCTTGTATATATGGGTGTAAGAGAATGCTGACATGCTATCATAGGTATCGACATGTCTGTACAGGGTATGAAACTCCCAAAATTTTCAGCCAGACCACAGGACTGGCTAGCTGAAATACTTGCCAGCCCTGACCAAAACCTGCCTGCCCACAATAATCATATGTTTCTCAGGATAATTTAATTAAAACTTTAAATCGAATTCATTGAACATGAAGTAATGCAAGAAAAGAAATAGCAAACACTTTTTAGGTCAGATTTGTATTTAATATGCTAGAATACATCATGTAAATAATGCTTATCATCGGGAAATATTTAGAATATTTTTACATATGAAATATAACCCGACCGTCGGGCATGGGGATTTGAAAATCTGGCAGCCCGAGTTGAAATCAACCCGTCTCGGACGGTCGGGCAGGCAGGTATTTCGAACACTGGTCTATAGATTGCCTGTGTTGTACATGTTGTACAGACCCGTGAAGTTCTCAGCAACCCATGCTTCCTGTAAAAGGTGACTATGCTTGTCGTAAGAGGCTACTAACGGGATCAGGTGGTCAGACTCGCTGACTTGGTTGTTGCATGTCATCGGATCCCAGTTGTTTGGATCGATGCTCATGATGTCAGTCACTGGATTGTCTGGTCCAGACTTGATTATTTACAGACCGCTGTCAGATAGCTGGAATATTGCCGAGTGTGACGTTAAACAACAGACAAACAAACATGTTGTACACATAATCTTACTGGATAAATGTACAATTTGGTCTGTTAATTTCCAATAGATTTTTCACGGATAAAAAGTACAGTTTATTCCTATTCGTATTAGCTGACAGGAAAATGTTTCGGAACGGTTGATCTTTAAGATGTTTTGATATACATGGTGCATGAGTGACTCATTCACATATACACTCCTGTTTTCAGTGAATGGGTTGCCAACGGATACAGAAGCATCTCTACTTTATCTGAAGAATTTGTTTCCTGGTGACAAGTTTGATGACCGTCTTCCACCAATAATTTTCAAACACCAGTTGTACAGTATTGTGAAAAACAGGACTACAGTTGATAAGCATGTGGTGAGTATCACTACTGAGAATAGCAGTTTAAGTATGGAGGTTACGGACATTGATTCAGTATCTGAAGATATTCAAGGGGGGTCACCTTGTCATCTAAGGCAAACAATTTACTGTGAAGAGTTGTATCTCTTATGCATGCCAGAAACCCATCTAAAAGGTTCGAATTCCAGATTTGGTCTGAAATTTTCTAAGTTTGTCAACACCAAACACATGCTCGTGGAATTCACCAAAGTTGTAAGTATCAAAGACCTACATCACTTTGACTTTGACAGTGATATGACTGAATACTGTTCAAAATGGCACTGAACAAAACTCACTTCTTTGATTGGAACCACATGGCTTGATACACACCATGTCCTGGTCGAGAATCCCTTTTAGACCCTCTTGGTAATTTATGCATGTATCAATATGCAGTTTGACAGGTGTTGGGTCTGAACATTATCATGCCCACACTGTATCCATCTTCCTGAGGCAAGGGAGTTAACTGACTTTAAAAACCCAGTTTCCACCCTTGCCGAACTAGGCTTGAATTCCTGGGATCGATCGTAGCGCCACCAGTGGCTGTTTACCAGTAATATCCCTGCTAAGCCTCTCCTATGGACCAATCAGATTCCACCTCTCGTATCATTTCATTTGATCCAAACAAAATGTAAGGACAATCTGATCGATAATCAAGATCTATATTGTGATAAAACATGTCTTTCATCGTGAAATGCATCAGATCATATGAGCACCTTAATTAAAGACATGAAAAGATTTGGAAAATAACTGTTGACGAGTTTGCGGTGCACATGCTCTTCAAATCCTGCAATCGACCGAAAGCTGCACGCCAGGATTTCGATTTTGTTGCAGGAATTTGATTGAACTATTCATTGACTCGTTAGTCCAGCCAAAATATAACTCCATAATACCAGCCTAGTTCGAAACTTACTTTTATAGTCAGTTAACTCTCTTGCTCAGGAAGATGCACTGTATCATGCTGTATGGTCTATCATCATCAATAACCGTAAGTGGGGTATGTGCATGGTTCAAGTCGTATAACTTTTCTCTGTTGTGACTTAGTAATGAGTGATTGTCCTCTCTTCAGGGTGACCTCCGAAGCAGTGGGGAAATCAAAGTGTTTAAACTGGGCGCTGATGCCAACGACCTGTGTGTTGTGTTTGCTCATGACTATGAAACTCACATTCTCCACGTCATGAAAGATCTGCATGTACATAATCATATAATAGGTAAGAATATGGTGGATCGTTCACACACATCATAAGGCTTAGCAATCTTGTTCGAATCAAATCTTTGACTTCAATATGATAACTCTCTGTGTGAAGATCCAAGGACATGGTCATAGAAGGTATTGGGGGGTTAAACCCTCACTGAACTTGGATCGCCCAAACAAATTTTTGATTCAATAGCCATTCAAATGTCAGCTTTCTAAACGATTCGAAAATCTTGATCTTAGCAACCAAAAAAGACATACAGAATACAGATATTACAAACCCTCGCCATTTATTCTGGAGATGCCATGCCCCTTTAAAATGACACAGGATCTATAACATATCCACAATAGATACTATCATGGATTAGTAATTTGCAAATGGGGCTTCCCAATTATTTTCATTTTAAAGATATACGATATGCTTGGCTGAATGCCTTGCTCGGTAGTTGTACCGGGAACTAAGAAGCGTCATTACTGAGAGGCTGATTGGAAAGCTCACCTGACACAACCTATGGGGCTGTCCTCAGATCTTCACCCAGAGGGGTATCATATCTGAGTAAAAGATCTGATTTTGTTGAGAATGAAGGCTTACACATTTAAAATTCTTGTTTTTTGTTTGTGACATAATACTTACCTTATATCACTGTGTATAAGGCAAAATTTCATACTTAAAATTAGGGGAGCTTTCAAGGAGGGTCGCCTTATACACTGGGTTGAAGAGTTTTGATGGTTTTTTCCCAAACACAAATACATTACTGGAGCTAGTAACTCAGGAAACTGCATGTCAACAAATCCATACTGAATTACACAAATTAATCATGTACTTACACTGTCTGCTTATAAAAATATGTTCATTGTATATACATGTATCTGGACTTATGTTTGTAATCTATTTTATGAATTTTATTCTAAATTTCATTCAACATGTTTAATATTGTTTACTTTCATTTTGGCGAAATCGTATGTGAAATAATTGATAGATCACACAACTCAGAGTCAGAGCTTCAAAACATACATATTCTGAAAGGAGTAGCAAAACCATTCATTTCAAGCACTATCAGGCATAATTTTTTTAAGTATAATCTCAATAATCAAAAAATGTCTGAGTATATTTCCAAATTGGAATATAAACATTCTCAGTTTGCGTTGATGTAGTTATATCTAATGTGATGGCTTGGCTGGGTCAGCATGTATTTCACAGATAACAGGACCAATAAAAAGGAACAGGTTTTAATTCTTTGTCTTACATTAATGAATTTAATGTTAATATACAATCTTAGTCTGAATTTTATGAAAATAGGAAATTTAAAACAATCCCAATTTTTTACAAAAGAACAAAAATATTCTGAATTGGCTCTTAGTTTGGAATCCTAGTTTGATCCTTGTGTATGTTGTCTAAGCTGAAATAGGAGGTAGACAGATACAGGTCACCTTTAGCCTTGTTTAGTCGCACAAGGCTGTGGTATGTACTTCTTTACATTCATTAATAGAAAGGGGGCACGGGTGGCCCAGTCGTCTAAGGCCCAGCGATTCCCTGTGCAGAGTTGCGTCCTTTGGGCACACCAGAAACCTATGAACGTGGGTTCGAATCCCGGTATGCTCCGATTATGTTTCTAGGTTTGTCAGCACCATACCCGTGCTCGTGAGTTTCACCAAAGTGGTAAACGTCTGAGACCTGCATCACTTCGGGCTTTCCTCCCACACAAAGCTGACACGCCGTGATATAACTGGAATACTGTTAAAAGCGGCGTTAAACCCAACTCACTCACTCATTAATTGAAACTGCTTCCTCCTACATGATGAAAGGCAAAAAGGAAAGTTATTTCATACAGGGAAATTTGTTTTCAGAAAAATTCTTACGGGTTGTGAAGAACTGTAATGATGTGAGTCTTGACAAGGATACATTGATGAAGGACTTCCGCTTTAAGGATGAAGAAATCACGTAAGTTTTCATGGTATGCTTTTACCGACAAACTGACATATTCTCACATTCATTGACATATTTGCTGAAACAATGACTGACAAACTGACACATTCACTGACTAACTGTCACACTAACTGACCAACTGATACCTCTTCACTGACTTCCCTGAAAAAAAACTGCCACTTTCACTGACAGACTGACACATACCTTGACACATTCATTGACACATTCTTTGACACATTCTTTGACACATTTATTGACACATTCTTTGACACGTTCATTGACACATTCATTGACACATTCACTCACAAACTGACACTTTTGCCAACAGACTGACACATTCACTGACTTAGCAACACATTCCTCCACAAACTGATATCTTCAGTAACAACCCAAACTAATCATTGAAACATTCATTGACACATACACTTCCGCAACAGGTTTGCCCACACATTTTTGTATTTGTAGATGCTAGAACACCCATTTTCATGCTTGTATGTATTTTAGAGGTTATAATTGGATTGTATTGTATCCTTCATGCGAGTGTACAGTGTTTGTTGTTGGAGCTGTATGTTGTATGAAGAATGATGTCTGTATTTGCTCACCCCCACCAGGCAACTTGTCAAGTCGTCAGTGCTCACAGTCCGAGATGTTGGCAGCTGGTGGTTGTCCATCCCCAATGCTGGTGTGTTTATGAAGAACTTCATGAGAGGAAGGAAAGCTCTGTTGACAATGATACGCAAATGCAAATACAGGGAAATACTCCAACAGGTACGAACCTTGCTTCTTGATTCAAGTTGATTGTTGTGTTATTGTTAGTGCTTGTCTTAGGGGGTATGAAATTCTGAAAACTACTGGCCCCCATTGCAAGAGAAACCCTACCTTTCACTTGCCCACAATTGAAATTTACTTGTGTAAATTTCATGAATTTGCTTTTAATGTACCAATCAGAACCAATCTGCCATGAGTCACAAATCATACAGGTCAACTGGATTCCATGTACTTAATATGTCATCTTCCCGAGGCAAGAGAGATAACTAACCATAAAAGTCCAGTTTCCACCCTTCCCGAACTAGGCTGGTATTGTGGAGTTAGATTTTGGCTGGACTTACGAGTCTATGCAATCAAAATCCCGCACTGAAATCAAAATCCGGCTCTTAAACCGTTGTGCAGATTTTGGTCAAATGCAGGATTTCCAAAGCATGTGCACCGCCAACTCATTGTCAACAGATATTTTCCAAATCTTTTCATGTTTTTAATCAAGGTGCCCACATGATGCATTTTGCGATTTAAGACCCGTTTTATCGCAATGTAGATCTTGATTATCGATCAGATCTTCTTGACTGGGCACGGCCATTTTGTTTGAAGCAAATGCAAGTGATACGAGAAGTGGAATCTGATTGGTCCATAGGAGAGGCATAGAAGGGACATAACTCGAAAAAGCCACTAGTTGCTCCAGGAATTCCAGCCTTGTTCGACAAGGGTGGAAACTGGACTTTTACAGTTAGTTAACTCTCTTGCCTCGGAAAGATGTTAATATGTCGACATACAAGAAAAAGGCTTGTGTTGGTATTTGCCATTTGAAGCTGAAGAACACAAGCTGAAGAGAACTAGTGACACATTAATTTGCACTCTCCTACCCACAGTTCCATTCGGCCGGCAGCCAGCTACCATAGTACCTCTGCCACAGGCCAGCGCAATGTGACGATTCGTCACATCTTTCACAGTCCATTCAAGATATTGCATATGCTTTTCATCCGTTTCATGTTTGACAAGTCTACACATTTTCATAAACAAATGTCAAAGAATGGTTAACTTTCATTGAGAAAGTATGCAAATACGTAAAAATCTACTTGTTTTTGCGTAGTTATCCTATGTTTACATTGGTTGTACGGCTCCACGTGCTGTCATCGAAGCCCAACGGAGAGCTAGCGACACGGTCACTTTGATGCATAAATATATATTGTCATGCAACTCACTGTCGCAGTTGTAGTAGCATATCTATGTAGTTGTGCAAAACAATATGTAAAGCGCCCCCAAATTCTTGCATTAGTCTGTTCTATACTGATTTCTAAAAAAGCGCGTTTGTTTACAAACAAGAGAAAAGTCCGGTCACGTGATATGCAAATTAGCCTGTGGCAGTGGTGTTATTCCACAATAAATATGATATGACTGAACATATGAATATGATATGACATGTAAATGTAGTAACATGGGAATATTGAGAAGTTTCGAGTTATGTTTGATTGTATAATTCTTGTACTGCATAGCCCAGATCATAGTTTAGTTTGATATTATGTTGTCTGTTATCTATGTTTATCATATAATGGGTAGGTTTCTCAGCAGTATGAAGCCAACGGATAAAAACGATAACCGATGGGGTGATATGCGGATAGAGATGCAAATATCAAAGGTCAAGTAGGGACTACTTTCAGTGCTTATAAACAAACATGGCGTCACTCTTGTCATTCAACGATCTAGTCAGAATCAACCAACAGGAATCTGGAAAAAACTACTGGGGTAATTGCTATCATTATCAAAAGAATAGTCTAATATACTTCAGTGTCTAACTGTGACGTATCTAAGGCATTTTACAAGTTTTGGCAACTTTGGAGATACAAATTGTGAGGACACTAGCCAAGTGGGATCTGTTTCCATGTCTGTGCTCTGTGGCTTGGAACCTTTTAAACAAATCAAAACAGTTGGATTTGGACGAAATATGTCCGAATTATTACCTTGTTTCATTTTGTCGCTGTCTCTACATCTGACTGCACTTCTATAGTAGGACAGGCCAACTGTCAACAAAGGCTAACTGTGACGTGATGTCTCATAGACTAGGGTTAAGGTAGCTTCCCTTCAATAAAGGGCAGTTACTCTGTTTGGTAAACTGATGGAAAAACATGTTTATTTATGTAGGTTAAGGTTTTCATAAATTACCAACTGAAACAATACATCACGTATGATGAAGGACTAAATAGCTCTTTTGAAAGGTTTGTAAACTTTATGATAATGATTGGTTATCATAGTTATGACATTCATAAAAATAATTAGAAACTTTTCAATTGCTTTGTTGTTTTTTCTTAATTTGGACATCTAACCAATGCAAAGTGGATATGCATTATGAAAAAAAATAAAAAATGTTTTGTGTTGTTTTACTTTGAAGGATCTTGAACAGAGGAAGTGGCCAAAGCTGGCTCGCCTTGGGATCTTGTATCACATACATGATGTTATCGGAGCTGACCTGGTGGAGAGGTATGGAGAGGCTTACCATTTTGATACTGATAGGTGTTGTCATTTGCATTATTACATACCAAGTTAGAACATGTTGAATTAATGAGTTAAGGAGCATGTTTACCAGCTGTCTTTATGTCCATGAGTCAAGGGGTGGTCGGGTAGCCTAGTGGTTAAAGTGTTCGCCCGTCACGCCGAAGACCCGGGTTCGATTCCCCACATGGGTACAGTGTGCAGGGGTGAGAATATTCCGCGGATCCGCAAATTTTAGTGACAACAAATTTGTTAAAATCTCATAGCTTCCCCCTGAATACTCCCAAATTATGGACTAGCTCCATTGCAAAGATGTTTCAGCTGAAATGGAAAATATCCCTTCTCATCTCTGAATGTGTGAAGACCATTTCTGATGAACCCTGCCATGATATTGCTGGAATAAAGCTAAAAGCAGTGTAAAACAATAGTCACTCACTCACTCCATGAGTTACACAGGCCCTGGACCTGGGCTAGACTTTGCCACCATGGCTCCATCTGTTTGTGTGTACAGTGCACTGTACTTATAGACTGACAGGATCGGGTGGTAAGGCTCGCTGACTTGGTTGATGCATGCCATCGTATCCCAATTGCGTGGATCGATGCTCATGATGTCAATCCCTGGATTGACTGGTCCAGACTGGATTATTTACAGACCACCATCATATAGCTGGAATATCGCTGAGTGTGGTGTAAAACAACAAACAGATATAGTGCTATCAATGTACGCACTACGAGAAGAGGTTTACTCCCACTAGTTACTCCCCGATTTCACATACAACTTCCAGCAACCCATTCTTGCCGTAAAAGTGTTACTCTGTCATCAGAATTGTTGACTTACTTGGAAGTTCTTGCTCAATTTGGAAGTAGGTATTTGGTATTCATGCTGACATAACCGCCTCCGTGGTCTAATGATAGAGCGTTCGCCTGGAGAGCGGAAGGTCCGGGGTACGATCCCCAGCCGCGTCATACCAAAAGACGTTAAAAGATTGTTGTTACCCTGTCTGGCGCTCGGCATTAAGGGGCTAAAACAAGGACTGGTCAGCTCGGAGTCAGTATACTGTGTCTGAGTAGGGTATTCATGTTAAACTGCGGCATGGTATCTCAGTGTAGCACTATAAATCGGCATCAGTCTAGACTAGTCATCAGTCCGATGTTAAGCCCAATTTCACCTCACTTCACCTCATGCTGTCATATACAGAGATACCTAACATTTCATTATCAAAACATGCACCTCTCCTGATACTCATCCAGTAAGGACGTTAATATGAATAGAATAAATATATTGAAACAAATTATATGTTTCTGAAGCAACTTCTTTTATTGTTGGTGAAAAGACATTTATTGAACTTGATTTTTAACTCACCTGAGTAAAAGTCAAGTGAGCTTACATGGGGCGTTCAATAAGTTTTGCAACTTGGGCATTTGTGTTTACACAAACAATGTCAACTTGTGGCAGGTGTGACACTAGTCATAACATCAGGTTGACACGTGTCATAACAAGATCCAGACACAACAATAAGTTAGATGTGATGGCTTCATTCACCTAAGGGTGGTCACGATCATGGATTCTCTCAAACATGAACAACGCGCTGGAATAAAGTTCCTTACATGATCCGGTTCGAAAGTCGAGAATTGCACAGGGTGCCATATGTGAATGTGGATTCGAACAGTTAAATCACCCACCCTACAGCCCAGACTTAGTCCCCAGTGTCTTTTTCCTGTTCCGGCAAATGAAATCTGCCCTACGTGGAAGGTGCTTCCAGGATGACAAGGACATAAAGGCTACCACAGAGGCGTGGTTAGAGGGATTTCTATAAAAGTGGTATTAAAAGCTTGAAGGACAAATGGAATAAGTGTATTGAGGTGAATGGAGATTATATTGAAAAATAAAAGTGCCAAAGATATTCTGCGACTTGGTCTTATATTGAAGTTGCAAAACTTATTGAACACCCCTCGTATGTTGTGGCCTGTTTGTCCGGTGTGCATCATGAATTGTGCTTCATCCATCGTAAACATCTCCAAGGAATCGAACCAGGTCTTCGGCGTGACGAGCGAACGTTTTAACCACTAGGCTACCCGACTGCCCCGATCTGTTTTGACTATGCTGCTAAATACTCTCAAAATGCATTTCTCTGTAAGTTTCTTCTCAGAAATTTGCCAGATGAGGGGAGCCTGTATATTTCTACTTATAAATAAAAGGACGTCATATTTTCTAAAATCTATTTAATTTTGGTTAGTTTTTAGATTTTACCAATATGTAGAAAGTATTTGAATACAAACATTGATCAATGCTGACTGCATTTTTTTTTCAGTGGGTGTCATTGTTTTTTAAACTCTTGTGTCGTGGCACTATTTACACATCGTTAGACTATATGAATATTTTTGAAACAATTCATTGAAGTATGTACATCACTAGGTGTAATATAATTCTAAATGGAAGGTTGCTCTTGTTACTGTTACTAACTACTAAAATTTGCCTTTTTCAAATGTAAATTTTATACATTTTAGGAGTTGATACATCCACATGACATGCTGATAAGTTGTTTGTGTATGATTGCTTCTGATTTCAGCGTACAGACAACGTCAGGGAACTTACTGCGACTGAAAGACTGAATCTGAAATGAAGAGAGTATGTACAACTGAAATATGATGAGGATGAGGATGAACAAAGGAATGCTAGATGTACAGTTTTTGCTGACTTTTCTAGTAATGTTATTATTTTAATTTGGATTGTTAGATTGTGCATTTAGTTCTGTTCTAGTCAAGCTTTCCCTCCTGTCTACCTTGATATTGGCATAAACAGACCATGGAGATGTGAAACATGGGTACTACAGTTGAACTGTTATATTGGGTAACTGTTGCATATTGATGCTATTTCTCTCTGTTTGTATTTATCACTGTGATCAGAAAAACAATGCTGAGAGACATCTTGGTGCTTTCATGTAGGGATGTCACGATGAGCGACCTCACATGTCGATACATATCACGATACTTTTGCCAAGATACAATTAGTATTGTGATACTTTATTTGTGCCATTTCTGGGGCTGTCGGGTAGCCTAGTGGTTAAAGCGTTCGCTCGTCAAGCCGAACACCCGGGTTCGATTCCTGACATGGGTACAATGTGTGAAGCCCATTTCTGGTGTCCCCCGCCTCGATATTGCAGGAATATTGCTAAAAGCGGCGTAAAACCATACTCACTCACTCACTTGTGCCATTTCTGCATGAAATTCTCCGTTTTCCTTGTGGTCCGGCAAATGAGGTTATTGCTATGAATGTGTTTACATGGTGAGGTGAGGTGAAATGGGGTTTAATGTCGCGTCCAAGATTATTGCACTTGTATATCGACGTGCATGCACGTGTGTGTGTGTGTGTGTGTGTGTGGCTGCTTGTACTTGTCCGGAATGATGCCGATTTATAGTGCTAGCACACTGAGATACCATGCCGCAGTTTAACAATAACATGGATACCTGACTCAGACACAGTATACTGATTCCGAGCCGACCAGTCCTTGTTTTAGCCCCGTAATGCCGGGCGCCAGGGTAACAACAAGTACCATCTTTAAATGTCTTTTGGTATGACGCAGCCGGGGATCGAACCCCGGACCTTCCGCTCTCCGGGTGGACGCTCTACCACTAGCCCACAGAGGCGGTCGTGTTTACATGGCAGGATGTACCTGCTCTGTTCTTGCTGGTTTCTGCAGTTTTATTCATCAGCTTGTTTCATGATAGGCATGAATTGACTAGCCCAAAAGAATGCTTTGTAAATATTACTTTGTGAAAGTCAATACAGAACTATGAATTAGTACATTGTCAGGCGTTTCATGTATTGTAACGCTGGGTGAAGTGAGGATGCGTCCATGAATCGTGACAGCCCTACCTCTATGTTAAAGTTCAAACTATGGAGTCCCATGAATGAATCGCTGGCTGCAGATTCCATGTTGGAATGCTGTTTCATAAAATTTTATTTGATTCGATCCTTTCCAGACATAATAAATATTTTCAAATAGGAATATGAAAATTCACTTTTACTTAGCCAAAACTTCATACATTTTTTACAAATTTCATAGTACCTAAGTGCTCCATTTATGAATGCTCTACACCAATAAGGCATTAAAACAAATTTATTAAACATTAGTGTTAAGTATTTTATTTTATTTTACCTTTCTGTAGAATTATTTTGGGATCACTCTTGTTGATTTATTAACATGATTAACAACACGATAGCCTAGAAATCAAACACAGTTCAAATGAACTTGTATGACATCAACTCATTTACACCACAAAATGAAAACTTAACTAAAATGAGAAAGTAATAGGTGTCTCAAGACTGTCATTCCCTGCAACAAGGATGTATGTGAGTTTTGAAAAGACATATATTTCAGTCTAAAAAAAAATAGCCTGATATCTCAAACCTGACTTGGCCGGCAGTCCAGACCAAATCTGTCTCTGAAATACTAAACTTGACATGGATCACTTGTCAGACATGACACCATACCACTCAAGTGTGGTTAGAGTTACCTGCCCTTGTACCAAATTGTGGCACTGAAAGGGAAAAGGATCTGTAGGGGAAATCTCACTTTATTTCTGTTTAAGATTCATGCGATCTCTGAACACAGTGATTAGGGTGGTTTTCTGCATGAAAGCATTTAGTTTGCCTAACGTGTATTAGTGAGTGAGTGAGTTGGGTTTAACACAGCTTTTAACAGTATTACAGTTATATCGTGGCATGTCAGCTTAATGTTGGAGGATAGTCCGAATTTAACGTGTATTGAAATAACATGTATACCTCCCAGCTGTTGGCTACTGTAAGGATCGACAATTATTATTGTTGAGCTATGCCCAAACAAAAGGCTGATACATTTGGACTGTTTGTATTCCTTTCTGACAGTATTTCTTAGGTCAGATAGGTTTAACATTTTCTTGGACAAGTTATTTTGGTCAATATGCCAAGTGGCTGTAGGCAGCGTAAAATAATTAAGTTAAGGCTTTGTCTGAGTTGATAGAAAATATTTGTTCAGAAAATACTATTTTAGATCACTCACAAAAATTAAATTTTTCACTTACTTTTGGTAAAAACAAGAAAAATAGTGGCACTTGCCTTCGAAATATTTTGTGTATTATTCCTATCACTCTGATTGTAAATTACCACTAACTAGTTGATATGTCATGCTTGTGTGTCTATAATTAAGACTGATGCCAACTATATAGACATGACTTTCATGAACAGGTTTTAAGATTTTCAATGATAGGAAGTTGAAAAGTTCTGGGCAAATCTTCCCTGTGTCTATTGTGATCTCAGTGGCCTGTGGTACAGGGCCGAATGTGTGTGCAAATGCATTTAAACTTAGCATATGTGATTACATGCTTAAAGTCCCAAATACAGCAGTTGTTTCCCTTTGAATATTAGCCAAACTTGTTACATTATTGTGTGTGTATGATACTTGTTTGACAACACAGAGTGAATGGAATTGTGTTCGTCCTGCCAGGATTATGATTAACGTCAGTGTTATGTGTTATTGTAGTTGATAAATGAGAGGTAGAATCAGAATCTTATTTTTTATTGACTTTGGAAAACATGTTAGGTTTTGATGACACAGGGCTTGACAGTGTTTCTTTTTTTCAAAATACACCCAGAAGAAGTATGGATCAGATTTGACTGTAGAGCAATGTCATTCTACTCTTATTAGGCTAAAAAAATAATAGTCTTGGTTCTCGGCACCGCCCACATCTTCATAAAGTTTGCCGCACGTTTCGTTTTTATTACCATTTAAAAAAAATTAAAAATTCCTTAGATATTCCTAGTCCAACGGTAGTCTAATACAGTATTCCAGTATTTTACTCATCCTAGAATACATTCATATACTAGGGAGGCCCTTTCCCAGGTTGTATGTACACAACATGCTAGTTTGAACAACGGGGCGGTCGGGTAGCCTAGTGGTTAAAGCCTTCGCTCATAAGGCTGAAGACCCGGGTTCGATTCCCGACATGGGTACAATGTGTGAAGCCCATTTCTGGTGTCCCCCGCCGTGATATTGCTGGAATATTGCTAAAAGCGGCGTAAAACCATACTCACTCACTCACTAGTTTGAACAACAGCAAAAACACACACACCACCCGCCCGCCCGCACTATATTTTCAAAAGCCATTGCCTGAGAACCTATTCTTTTATTTTTTTAAGCCTTAGAAATATAAGTTTACAATAATAATGTCAAATACTTAATATCGTATCTTGTTTTAGTTGTTTCATATGTTTGTTTAATACATTTGCTGTCTCTGACATCTGTTTCTGCTGCCCATTGTAAAGTTGATCATAACAAGCACAGTTAATGATATGTAATTATGAGTTTTATCTAACTCTTGTGTGGGAGATTGTTCTGTTTGTTATTTAAGGTTACAGTCAACAGTTACAAAGTAGACACAATGTATGGCAAACAATTTCTTTATTTTACTGTAATGGAGACTTATACTGTTGTCAAGCACGTTGTCCATAAATTGTGTCTACTTTGTCATCTGACAACTTCCAGGTAATGCTTAGCTAACGATGTCAACACTTAGTTGTCCATTGCCCCAGTTGCATTTTCTTCAAGTTGCATTAACATTATGTACAACACATATGCATTTAAACATTTTCAATATTGTTGGTAAATGGAATGTTTGTATTGTGAAATATTAATCATTGATATTGGGAGATATTGAAACCATTGTTTCATATCATTAGACTGTGAAAAAGCCACAGCTTTTAGCTGGCCTGATGGGTAATGTCAATTTTGTTCAGCTAAGGCATATGTCTTCTGTATCGTTTTTGCATTATTAACTGTGATACAACAATAGGGGCAGTGAAACTGAAGATACTGCATGGATGATCCCACCAATTTTGTCAAAATCATGTCTTTGTTGCTTTGAATATATCAGCTCACTTACTCCAACATTGTGGCATGCAGTCAGCGTGCATGAGGGTCTGAAATATAGGTACATCTTAGTCTATAATTTTGTTTATTTCTTTACGAAGTTTAATTTGTTTTACAAGTGAATTTTGAATCATCTTCTGTAAAATGTCTAAAGTAGTTAGAAGTGCTGAAACTATGCTCTCTGAATGTCTCCAGTGTCTGGTCTCCATGCTAACCATATTGGGAAAAGTATTCTTGGTCGTTGTTCTTCTGAAATGTTTACTTAAACAACTTGAAATATTAAGAGAATTTTTAGACTGTACGAAACTGAGACTTTGCAAGGTCGATGCCACAAATTTCCATGTCTCTTATGATGGTTCAAGTTATAACAACTTGATTTTGATTTGGGGGCGACTAACGGGATCAGGTGGTCAAGGCTCGTTGACTTGGTTGATGCATGTCATCATATCCCAATTAAGTGGATCGATGCCCATGATGATCACTGGATTGTCTGGCCCAGACTTGATTATTTACAGACCACCGTCATATAGCTGGAATATGGCTGAGTGCTACGTTAAACAACACACAAACAAACAAGCATTTTCCTTTTGGTACCTGAGTAACATATTTCAACAAAAGTTAAATTGGCTGATTTCAATTGAATAAAGTACTCTGGGTAACATGCAGATCGTCACCACATCTTTCAACTCCTCAGTCTACAAGTTCAGTTCGTGTCTGAATTCTATTGTTCTCTTCATGGATCTGCTGACCATCAAGATTGGAAATTTTGAAAACTGTACTTAATTATGTCCTTTTCTATCATTCATTCATGCAAACACAATACATTATTCTATCCCTGAAAACAACTATAAGATAAATGCAGTTCAGTCCTCTCTAAACACAACACTATTTTCAACAACTTTGTCTGTGCCACTTTTAGCCTGGATACAAGGGATTGAAGCAGTACATTTACTCTTCTTGGTCCTAAAGGTCCGCCCCGCGAAGATTCCGGGGTAGAATAGGTCTTCAGCAACCCATGCTTGCCGTAAAAGGCAACTATGCTTGTCATAAGAGGCAACTAACGGCATCGGGTGGTCAGGCTCGCTGACTTGGTTGATGCATGTCATTGATCCCAATTGCGTGGATCGATGCTCATGATATCAATCACTGGATTGTCTGGTCCAGACTCGATTATTTACAGACCGCCGTCATATAGCTGGAATATTGCTGAGTGCGACGTTAAACAACAAACCAACCAACCTAAAGGTCCAGCTCTAGAAAGCAGTACTGGTGTTGTAATTCCTACATGGTAATGGTATCCAAGAAGACACATAGAACTTACATTATCACCCTGTGTGATGTGAGAACTAATGACTGAAATCAGTAGGTGTCCTTCTGTGCATTATTGAAACGTTTGAAGAATAGAAAAAAAGATGAAGTCTCAAATAAGAATGCTATACCTTTCCAATTACAGTGACCATCATGCTTGTGGAATTATTCCACATTTTCTGTAGATGAGA